GCCTTCTCTACCACTTCATACTCTTCTGCTTCCATCGACGTTTCTGCAAGCTCTATTTTCATTCTTATGTTTTTCCTTTTATTCTGTTCCTTTTTTTGCTCTTTTAGCTTCCTTTTTCTTTTTTTTCAACTATCATTTTTTCTTCTTGTGCTCCTCCGTCTATTTCTTCATTCTCTTGATTCTCTTGTGATATTTCTGGTAATATACTTGTTATGGGTCCTTCAAATTTTATTTCCTCATTCCTATGACCTTTTTTTTCTACTGCATATCTTGTGTCTCTCCTTGATTCGCCTACTTTTGCTGCCATTGCTTTCTGTTCAATTTCAAGCTCCTCTGCCTCCTCCTCTTTCTCATCCTCTTGTAGCACTTTTTCTTTGGCCTTTGTTAGATACTTTTGTTCTTTATCCTTAATGTTTATTTTTCTTTCCTGTTTTTTCCTAACTTCCCCCCTTTCTTTTGTTTTCTTTTTATTCATGTCTTGAATATATGCCTTTCCTTCATTTTGTGGCTTCAGGTCTTGGCCATCTGCCCTGGTTTGGATAACAGACTTATTTTGCTTTTCCTTTACATTATCACTGTAAATCCCCTCATTATTAGCTATTGGAGAATAATTGTCAGTTAAACACCGTCATGCAAATTGAAAATTTGGAATAGGGGAGAAAGGGGTGAAGGAAAGGAAAAGGTACATAATCAATTTAGAGATTAAAATTTCACTGTGCTTACAGGGTACAATGCTTGCAAACCCCTACTTTCCATGGATAACAGGTTCTAACATGCAAAATTATAGATATCAAACCTATTGTCATAAGATGATTTTCCCAACTTTCTAGTACTTATAACCAAATGAATTTCCGTTGTAAGTGTTCCTCTTGATCTGTGTTACTATTTTTCTTGCTATATTGAATGAAATGAAAACCTCTGACCTGTCCATTTACTAAATATTTCTCCTGCTCTTGCATGCACCAAGCACCATCGTGTTCATCGTCATGCGCTAAATTTTGACTTACAGAACTAGTCTCGGTAGGCAATACAATTGTTCAATGAGAAGATACTTACACTCCACAACTCCTCCATCTGCCTCATTGGGGAGAAGTTCGTTCTCCGAAACCTCGTCAGTAACCTCGCGCTCTGTGATTCGTTCAGTTATGTGCTGCGTAGTGATTCGTTTTTTCACCACTATTCCGTCCGCTAAAGTTTCTTCAACTTCTTCCACCTTCACATATGACAAATAAATAGTCAAGATTTTACTACTTGGATTTCATGCAAATTCTTCTTTTTATTATGACTCCGATGCATACATAAGGGCTTTTTATTTTATTATAATCATCCTTGTTAGGTTCATGCATTCAATGGTTATCAAAAGAAGGGGTGGTGATTTTTGAGTAGGATGGTTTGGTCAAATACAATTTGACTAGAAACAAATTTGTCCGTTGTGTAAAACTAACATTTTGACGGCTCTGTAGCGATACTTATTCAGCATAGATGATAAAATCTTATCCAAACATACTTATTTTATCCTCAAATTGCACTCTACTAACGGCATTCAGTACTTTCCTATCATAGACCCAAATGTTTGATCACTCACTTTGACGACTTCTTCCGGCGGCTCGATGATATATTGGTCGTTGCCACCAGCAGCAGCTGCGTTGAAGACAGCCTCCTCCCAGTCGTGTGCCGACAGGGCCTGGATGGTCTCGGCAGTCTGGACTCGTTGTTTAACAACTGTTCCATCCGGCAGTACTTCCTCCATCTCCTCTATGAGGAAGCCCTCTTCTGGACGACCCTGGTGGACATCGTGACCGGCTAGGCCTGTTGGAGACGGCGTTCCCTCGGCAGCAGCTGCCCTGTATGCTGCCTCAAAGTCCTCATCAGCATTGTCCAGTTGTTCCATCGACGGCACCCGCAATTCATCATCTGAAACACATTTATAATTCTCACTTTTATTCAGTCGTAGCACAAGTTAGTAAATACCGTCGAAATTTTCAGTGCTACTTTTTCTCATAACCAGTCGATGCACCCTTGTGTGCATTTATGATTCAGAGTAAAATCTCAGCACTCGTAAATGGGATGTCAATTCTCGTGAGCAAAGAAAGGTTTTAGTTTGTCAACAAACCCACCGGCTTCTATGTGCAGGGTGTCAGTTGGTCCTACAACGGGCGTTTCAGCCCGGCCAGCCTCAGCTGCTGCTCGCGACATTAGTGGACTGATCTCTTGTTTCGGTTTGCTTTTCACAGGCTCAATCTTAGCCTCCGTAACCAAGAGATCCTCGTGATCTGTATGAAGAGATGAATATTCAACGTTGTGAAATTGCACTTTTTGGTACCAACATAGGATTCCCTCATTTCTATTCCTTTTTAGGAAAGAGAACATGAGCACATAATAGTTGCGCTAAGTAAAATAGGATGTGTGCGGTGAATAGGAATTAAGTATTCATTTTTTGGATATATCTAACTTTCGTCCCTGACGTACTCAGTAAAACTACTCGTTCACTAAGACTGTGTTTCTAGAATGTACACAGCCAGTGTGCACGTTTTGATCTTAAATTCCATCGCATATCAAGGTTGTAGTGCAGTTATTTTTCATCAGAAAACTGCTCAAATGCGCTTAGTTTTAAAATACTTATACATATCACTCAAGAATTAAGTGTAGTCTCTTAAACAGGAAAAGCAGCTAATTAAAATTGCCAACGATATAGGCCAGTTTCTAATATGCTTAATTCAATATTTTGGCAGAAGCTGTACTAATTTAATTGGCGATAGAAGAAGAGAGATACCGGCAGACTGTGAGATAACGGAGATCATGTGGACATCAGAGTCGAGGCCCAGAGCCTCGACAAGTTCCTCAGCGGCGATTTGTCGAGCCACAGAATCTGCGTGGACGATTATTTCCTCAGGTGGCAAGAGATTCTTTCGCGTCAGACTCTCCGAAGCCACGATGAATTCATCCGAAACCGGCTTTATTTCATCGGTCGGCAATCCAAGACCATCCTTAGATGAAGGGAATGATGCCACCATTGATAACGGCCGCTCGAGACTGGCGCTCTTGATCGAGGAGGTCAGAATGTAGGGTACCTCCTCACTTGGTACCGTGCGAGCTACAATAGGGACATTGGTAGTGAATGCTTTCAGTTTCTTAGGAATCCAAAGTCATTACGCGCTGCAAAACATTACGTTTCAATTTTCATTAGTAGAAGGCAAAATTCTTTAGTCCCGAGTAAAGGGTATTAACACGAGGATTTATCCTAGAGGTGAACTTACGAGTTCCATCAACAGCAGTTGGCGGTGGCGTCTGGTCCATTGTAGGTACAGTTGGGGATTCTGATCCTACGCAAAAGCAAACCACTAAGTATTGGACCTGTCGACATATAACTTTGCAGTGTGCATTAAAATTTTTGTTAATAATTTCAGTGTACATTGCACAACTTTAGCACTATTGCTTGAATAAGGCTTGGATAAACAGATTCGCGCACTCGAACAGCCTACGTTTACATTGTTCAAGTCCTTCATTATAAGATCAACAGACATGATTGAGTGTTTTGCAATTTTTAAACACGATAAAAAAATCTCTACACTATTGCAGCATTTCTCATCTCCCGAACTGCTCCAATAGAATTTGGTTGTAATTCAGAAAGGGAACCAATTTCTAGACTTTAGTGTCTTAATCAGACAACATATAAACTTATTTACAATCTTAATGGAAGATTGGGACCTCCATTATAAACCTTACTAATGGACATTCATTCAATATTTGGGACTCGATCAACTTTAAGTCAAAAAATATCTTTGACATTAGGATCTCATGACCTATCTGGCGAGTCTGCTCCACTTAATAGCTCTTATTTGAAGTGATAAACAGCTTACCAGGATGGGGTACAGCTGCTTCAGCGGCAATGGGGGCAGTGATAACGTGGTCTGCTGCAATCAGTGGCAGTGGTGGCGGCGTGTGCTGAGGAGTGATAGCGCTGACCATTTGAATGGAGTGCACCAAGGAGGGAGTCTTGGACGAGGTCATCTCCTCGTCGATGTGATGCACACGCGAGGTAACCGGTTGGACGTCCAGTTCCGCTGTCCTATCATCTAAGTGGACACCCAATTTCTGCAGCGCCTCCCTCATACGAGAAGCTAGATTCAAGACAGGAAAGAACAAACTGATATATCTAGAAGCTTAAAATCTTCGGTTACAGCAACGGGTGAGATCCACGAGTGTAAGTGAGTGGCTTTGTCAATCGCATTAAACACTATCAAAAGGTATTATTAACATGTTAACCCCGAATTACTATAAACAGCGACACGTTACTCATCACCGCCAAGAATATGAAATGGCCCTCAAAGTGATGTATCTTTGAGTGGTTCATCGGTAAAAATGTTTATGCTAATTCAGTGTGATACGTTTTGCCACCAAACCTTCTTCAAATACGGTGCAAATATGATGAGGACTGGCGGCCCCTTCAAAACCTAGTTAAACGTACTCTTTGAATTGGGCAAGTTCAACTCACATTCATCGCGCTCAATCAACATTTAAGGAGGGCTGTAGGAATTTAGCACAGTGCACATATAACACATAAGGTTGGAGGTATCTTACGAGGCCACACAATTTAAAAATTACTGTAGCGGGTTACACCGAAAACCATGCAAACGTCTGCTCCACTTGATACACAGACCGTTCTCTGTTGCCTTTCCTTTTGATTGTTTTTGCCATTTTTAGCAAAAAATTACTTTTCTCTTAGAGATACGACACTTCGAACTTGGCGAATCACTGAGATAAAATCCAGCATTTAAAAACATATTTTAGCAGTATTTCAACACTAGAAAAATGTTCTTTTTGACCTTTTGTTACTCCCCATTCATGCAGATAATTCTCAAGAATTTTGGGAATCACGCGCTTGCTCACTCCTGGTGGGCAGAGTCTACGTTCATACATGCCTCAAGTACGGCGGTAGTCTCTCCAAGGCCGACTGCACACGTGACTTAACCAAGCAAGAGACCCAGATGCAGACTCTAGTGTCCCAGTCCTCAGCAGCCTCCGCCACCCAATCGGGCATCCCTCCGTGTTGGTCTGGCTACTCTTGCACACCTCATCAATTCATGTCTATTGGTGACTCGGGTCATAGTGGCAATAACTCAGTTTACAAGACGTTTTTAGGAAGTGCTTAGATGTTTTTCCGGCTGCTAAAAATTGGCAATTAGGAGACATGGAAGCTAATACAACAAAAGTAAACACAGATGATGAGATTTTTGTGTTATATCTCTGAGTGGCGTGTAGGACGATCGTATCATGGCAACTCACCCAAATCTTCTGGCGAAAGAGTACCCATAGCGGCAGAGCGTTGCATCCAGAGCGCGAGCATGTGCTGACAGCGCTCACTGTCCGCCCCCTGACCGATCTGTTCGCCTGCCAGCAATTCCCTCTCCACCATTTTGATGTCCTCGGGAGAGAGACCCAACTCCTTTGCCAATTGCGGCCATCGCGCATTCGTACGCAGTGCGATTTCCCTTATGTTTAATTCAGGTCTCATTGCCTTCGTTGACACCTCTTCCGACGTCGAAGCGTCTGGATGAAATCAGCATATGAACATGAGTTACGGTGGTTTATAACTAGGGTATAATGTTTGGAATCTCATTAGTATATGTGTCTTGTGACTAAAGATGTGTAGGTTCTGGTTCAATTCCTTACCAAGCCATCGGCCTTCGACGGCATCGCCAGGCATGTGGATTTCGAGGACAGTGATGGGCTCTTCTTCATCGGTGGCGACCCTGGCACCGTAAGCCTCCTGTGGCTCACGGTAGACCCGAAGGTGGCCCGTTGGAGGTGTCTTGGTACCCACAGGCTGACGGACCCTAACCGGGTAGGTCAGACGGTTCTCTTGGAAGGCTTGCACGTCCAAAGTTAGCTGACCGGTATGTGCTGGGTATGAGGAAATATCGCCTACTGTCTCCAGCCAATAAGTTTTTGATTCCGATACCTGGAAGGCAGAAAGCTTGGATATTTTCATCAGGAATACTAGAAAGTATGAATAGACTGGGGCGGCTAAGAATAGATGAAATACAAGTTTGTACAGTTCACACCAATCAATACAAAAATTGCAAAATGGTGGGTCTGGAGGCATGCCTCAGTTGGAGGACCAACAGCGACGAGCTGGAACTTCTCATGCTGCTCCAAAGTTTTCTCAGGCGCATCGTCGATAAGGCAAATGCAGCGTAGCTCTGCATCAGCGGGATGGAAGACCTTGCGTCGGAAGCGGGAAGCCACTGAAGTGGCTGCCGAGATGGCATCAGCCGCCGATGTTGAAATTGAAGCGGCTGCCTCATTTGCCTCAATCTCCTGACGATCTTCAGGGAGCCGGGCGTAGACGGCAAATCTTCCAATATAGGGTGGGATTATGCTCTCTTGGTAGACCCGACTAGCCATCTCTGCCACATCCTCAATTCCTTGTGCGTCTACGAGCCACAGTCTGGAAGAGATATAATCAGATAATTTGTAGTTAAAGTATGGTCCATGGATGTTCCACACTTTCCATTCGTGACAAAAAAGCAAATCCACAAAGGGGGAGAGGAGGTGGAGAGGACGACTGACCTGGCAGAGACAGTGGTGGTAAAAGAGATGCAGTCCTTGTGACGAGTCATCGTGGTGGAGCCCGTGATGTCCTCCCAAGTGGCCGGTGCGCAGCCAGCGGTGATGGAACAGAGCAGGTGAAGGCTTGGTGGCAGCGGATCTGATTTGTGTACTCCCTTGAGTGACTGCCGTGGCAACGGGATTGTCACGGTTATTGGCTTGTGGAACTTGCGTCGTCGTGGTTCCAGTGTGACCACCGGCGAGAAGGCGGCCCGGTTGCCCACCATCTTATTCACTACGTAGGGCTGAATCACTTGGGCCTAAATGAGTTGTTAGTTGCGGTTCTAAATGAGTATGTGACAACAAACCATTCTAGGTTGCTTTACACAGGCCAATAGATTGGGGAGGTCTTCAAAAATTAACTTCACTACTTTCATTCACAAATTCGAATATAAATTCCTGTCTGTACATCAGCAGCTAATGATTATCACAAAGGATCTTCCATGAAATTACTTATCTTAATCTCACTTAAATCCGCGATTCGATAATGAGCTTCAACTATCGCATGATTTCTTGGAGGAAATTGAAGCCTAAACTAAAATTTTACTCATACTTGCCGTGAAATCGATTAACAAACAGACAAACAAATCCGAAAACAATATTGCAATGACTTTAAAGAACACAGACATCTGCCTGTAGTTTAGATCAAATACCTACCTCCAAGTAGGTGCTGAGAATTGTGAGTACAAAGGTGATAGTGGTACCTACCTGGAGACCGACTTTGATGCGCTTTTGCAGAGCGCCCTTAGGGAAGACGGCTTGCACTTTAGGGGAGACTGTGGAGGCGAGCACGCCTCCGTCGGGGCCGATCAGCGCGATCTCTTGACGGAAGCGCGAGATAAGCGCGAAGAAACGTGGTACATCCACCGTCAGGATGCGCTGGATCCGGCGCTCGCGTATTGATTTTAACAGCTCAATTTGACCTAAACAACACCGCCTCTTCACTAACTTGACCCATTTAGAAGTCGATATTATATAGGTTAAGCATTCATTAACCATTTGAAGCGATAAATAACAGTAATCAGCAGAAACAGAGACGCTCCTGACATGAGTGAAACAATAATACAACTTTGCAAGAGCCTACCAAATGCAGTTCCTAGGGCGTCTTGTACCGACTGATCGGTGGCTTCAAGAGGATGGGCCTTCCACGAATCCCCATGATCGCATCTCAGTGTAATGACCTCTCGATCACGGCCTTGGATGGAAGCGAAATACGGGACTTCGAGAAGGATGGGCCCGTCGAGACGTACGCTGCTTGGCGACATTTCGATTATTCTAAAGTGAGAGCATGTTTTGTTTCACAAAATTTCTATGGGGAGGAATTAGGGGACCTCCATATGAATCGCAGTTTACTTGCCTGCATGCAAACGCATCCCCGTCGTTCAGATGAGGAAGGCGAGAGACGCGATCTGGTCGCAGTAGTCGACAAATGATTCGCGTGGGACTTGAAATAGCGTGGGGTGGAATAAGAAATCGAAGGTTTGGACGACGCTGGGCCTCAACAAATCCTCCACGCGCATCCACAAGGAAAGAAACAAGGAATCTAAAGGAAAATGGGAATCCATCAACTGAAATAGGGTTCGGTTTGTGAGTTCACAATTCACAGTAAAACAGAAATGCTGGTTAGATAAGTTTATAAGCATGCATATAGACAAATGTGGCATTGAAATGAAAACACCTATGGAGTGCAATCGATTTCTACAACTTTTGAGAAACAATTTAAAAAGTGATAAAATCGCACCCAGCTTTCACTGGTTTGCAAACAGCCTGAATCGGTTCGGCCTCGAAGGCTTCCCATTCACTGGACCCAAGAGGTGTCGCGCCCGACATCTCGATGTCCGACTTCTGCACAGACAACGTTGATGTGCCCTGAAACCGATTAGAGATATTACGCTAAGCGTGATAACAAGATGCAGTAAACCATGGGTCTTGTTCAATGGAGCAACAAGGGGAAAACCTTATGTGATCGGTCAGCAAACTCACCATTAGCTCGGAGACACGAGTCTGTTCCTCCATTGTACTATCAAGTGCACTAATCCGAATTTTTGGTTCACCTTAAAACATAGCAAGACATTATTATGTATGAAGGTAGCTAGGGTTACGTATCGGTGACAATAATCACACGAGAAAAGTTCTATCTCGACGATGTTCACAGGTTTCACTCTGATAGGTTATAATTTATCATAAATTTAACTAACAGCATTCATGCACACCACCGGTGTACCGGTGCCACGATTCGGAGGGAGAGTGCTCCATTTACCTCACTTTGAGGCACCACTGATCTATTTGTGTTTCTTACAATGGTCTAATGTCCATCTAGATTCCAAAGGAATAGGTTCAAATTTATCATCAGATAGGTATTGTGGATGCTCTTAAAATAATAATGAATGCGTTAACTATGCTTTCACAAAGAGTGCAGATATCTCTGCAAACTTCCCTACAAACATCTGGGGCCTGCGCCAACCAACCAAGAAAACCATTTCACAACAACTTGGAATTACAACAGCTAATTTACTTTTACCGTTACTCGAACCTCCTGGATGTTTAATTCGTTTAACTGTTGAGGGTGTAGTCGGCAGCTTTGTTTCGTCAACGTGAACTAATAAGCAAGTAAAAAAGTCAAACGATAAATTTCGAGAAAGTAGGCAAAAGGATACCTTTGTGCGCACGTGTATACTCCATTTGCTTGCACAGCAGATTGTATGAGGGTGATTTGAAGAGAGAGAGTTCACCAGCAGACGCTACAGCAAACATTAATGGTCACAACGATCGGAACGAAATGACATTTTCCTTCGAAATTGTGTACACTATCTTTACCTTTCCTTTGGCCTCGAGGATGATGACGCATGATGACAGGAGTGGAGACAAGTTGGTCACCTGCATGCATGACAACAATGGAATTTGTACAGAGCTGACAACACAGAAATGGCAGTAAATCATTTTTAGTGAATTTTATTTTTTGAATCAATGTGGGAGGAAAAAGGGCAATTTCGCTCAAGTGGTTAATGCCCAAGATCAAGTCGCACGGATTCCTCCATTTTCGTAGAAAGTTGACAGTGTCCAAACATTACTTGCATCCCATTTTGCGTTTGCGTCATTACATTTGGGGTACCATCTATTAATAAGAACGTGGGACTCGATCGGATCTAGAAATTTAGGCGTACTTACCGATACGACTCGATAAATCCATCCAATTCAGCCCTGTCACACTTCCTTATGGGTATGTTCTATCGGTAAGTAGATTTATACTTAAAACTTAGCAAAGTAGATAAATTGTAAATGTTTGTGTGTGTAATAGCCTTTTAATGGCCAGTCTCTTCAAGAAATTATCGCCATGTAAAACTGCCTAATTCATAGTGCAGATATCAGTCGACAACAAACTGAAATCGAGGACATGGTTACAAGACGACGGCAAAGTGGTGACTCTTCTGCAGGCATTTTGGAGAACGATTCGATTTACGACACAAACATCACTTATGGAAGAACTGACAGTGAGTAGTTGCGCACATCGAACCACAGACGTGGTCTGTCAGTCAGAGTACTAGCATTAACGAAATTGGGGGCAACAGACAACACAGACACTGAGGATGGGAATGTGAAGGCGGAGAAAGAGCACTCACTTTCGTCCTCGCTCTCGACCAATGCAACACGATCAAGCATCTGGGTAGGCGAGTCGAGTATCATTGAACCGTCGACGAGGGCTGGGTCGCCCTGCGAGAGGCCATCGGCACTGGCGCCTTCGAGGCTGGGCGTGTCCCAGTCCGATACCGTGGTGGTCACCCGCGAAAGGCTTTCAAAGATGCTTGGGTAGTGTTGCCGCTTTGCCACTTGCGCTGCCGTCCAGCCTTGCTGGAACCCAAGAAGTGAATTGTTCCCCTTTAGCAACAGTAGTCAAAGTCATCGCAGCGAAGTGGAACGCATCATCCCACTTCATTTGATACTCACCTTGTTGGTGCAGTTTAAAGCTTACTTCTAATGAAGGAACAGTTCATTTTTCCAACGCAGTCCTACATGTAAAATTAGGAAGTGGGACTTTTACATTCAGACCTGTTGACACATGAGCACGAGACTCAAGACAGGAAATGCAAACTGTCTATCATTCGACCGCATTTAGGCAAGTGGTGTTTAAACACATCTCTCTCGCACTCTTGGTTTCACCCTCAAAGGATTTGGTCAGGACGCCTAAAATGTTGCTTCGAGATCGTTATGAATTTGTAAGATGCTCTACTGAAACTGTTACACGCCATCGCGTTCAAGTCCTTGGTGCACCTAACCACACCCTAACTGTGATCTAATAGCATCCGGCTCTGTCAGCTTGAATAGTAGGACTATGAGATACCTCATTCACCGGATGTCAGTGTAGGTCGCATCAAACAATAAACAACGAAGACCGTGTTCAAGTCTGTTTACATATTAATTAAGGGCTTGTTTTGTGCACAAAAAATACATACTCCGATGAATTTCTAAATGCTAAAATAGAAAACGTGCCTCTACTTTCTCCGCTGTACCCGTAATGAAAATGCTCAAAATTCTGCTAAGACTTCTCAATGAAATCACTTTGTAGAGCTAGAAAAATGCTATAGAAAAAAATTAACTGAAAGCAAAAATGCATCTAAGCTTCAACTCTTCGACAGACAAAATACACGCCGCCCACATTAGAACTGGCAGTCGTTAAACGACATGGATATTTCGGAGTGATTTACAGCTGTCTTTTGCTCTAAAGTTGGTCGATTCTTGAATCGTTTCTTTAAAAGCATCGAATTCATCCAGAAGGGTCCAAGCATTCACTTCAAGTTAATGACGCAGGTATAGGATAGAAGAAAATCATGACAAAACCAAGATAAGGTTAGGTGACTTTACCAATTTTCGTGATGTCGTACCTTAGATATTTCCCAGTAAATTAACAAATTTTCGAAAATATATTTCATTACAGATAAAAATCCGATAAAACTTCGGATTTCTCCTCACGGTTTGATGATAGCGAAGCGTGGACAAAGGCTCGTATCAAGAGGAAAGTCCTGTTATAGTATGCAACCATACTGAAGGGAATGAATCCATTAAAGTGTCTCCAGTCTGACTTTTAATACTTTAGAGTTCCTCAACTAGAGCTTTGTATTCTTGCGGTATACGGCCTAAGATTTCTAAAATTGTATTTAGGAGCAATTGTCTTGCTTCCACATCGAAATACTAAGAAAAGGAGTATGATGACGGCGCTTACCATAGTTCGACTCTTCAGATCGGCGCCCGCATTCAAGAGTAAATCAACGATTTGTGAATGGCCTTGCTGAGCAGCTAGATGCAGAGGGGTGCAGCCCATAATCGTGCGGCTGTTGATCGCGCCCTCCTTGCCCGGGTGGGCCAGCAGCAGCCTAACCAGAGGTGCACTTCCCCTGTAGGCAGCCTCGTGTAGAGCCATGTAGCCGTTTCTTGTCTGTATGTTCTGACTAGCTCCGTGAGCCAACAGGAATTCCGCGACGTCCACACGGCCTACCTGCGTCGCCAAGTGCAGTGGCGTCAAACCGTCCTGTAAATGAAGTGAATTAAATGATTTTATACTAACTTATTTAAGTAGCAATTGTGCAAAGCAGAGGGCGAGGAACCCACGTTGGCAGAACAGTTGACTTGAGCGGAGTAATCGTCCACCAGGGTTCGAACAACTGTGAAATTGCCTTCCATAGAGGCAAGGTGTAAGGGTGAGTAGCCATTCTGGGACACGCAGTCGATTGGGGCATTGGCTTTGATCAGAAGAGTGGCGATTTCCGGGGTGTTCGCTTTGGCAGCTAGGTGAAGTGGTGTGAATCCGTTTTTGCATTTGGCTGTCACGTCCGCACCGCGAGATAGTAAAAATTCTACCACCTGAAAGAGATGGCTAGGTCATTCAGGCACAATTCCTCATAACCATATCAAACGAGAAGATCACTTTGGGACTTTGAGAAACTTTCATATAAGCAAAAACCATTTTAGAGTACACTTCAGGAAAACAGAAATTCCTTAATTTAACTTAGCTTGATGAAAATTAAATAAAACTAACGTTACTTGCGCTAATGTTTGTCTTACTGCACTTTTTTGCAGACTTAGGTCCATTTGGATTTTGTAGAGGTTAATGGTTCAGCTCGAGGTGATGAATACATCATTTTAATTCAAAAAATCAGTAACGTAATGTCGGTAAAAGAAGCCTAGAGAGAGTTATCGCTTCTAGGAAGATAAGACTGTTCGAGACTGTTGCGCTGATTGAAGCACAAATTGCGTCGCGCTGAATTTGCACAGCCAAAAGTGGCAAATTAGTAAGTAAGAGGTTTTACTAACCGTGTGAATCAAAGTGAATTAAGGAGAAATTATGCTCACCTGTGGGTACTGGTAATAAATGCTGACATGCAGAGGTGTGAGTCCATTCCTCGCTGCCGCATTAGCGTCGGCTTTGGCTTCATCTACAAGGTATCGCACTGCATCGATCTTTCCATACTTGGTGGCGATGTGGAGAGCTGTGTAGCCACGCTAAAATAGGGTAGAAACCATGGCTAACGTAAGGTTCTTCTTAAAATCAACTGAAATAGAGTGAATGTGGAGCATCAAGGATAACAACCATAAGATGAATAAGAGGCAAGTTTGGTATCTGGAAATTGCTACCACATCTATAAAATGGGTATGAAAAATTGAAACAATATTTCAAACCATCTACATGGTTCAATGCAACTACCATATTTTCGCCTGCAATCACAGTGATGGGACTAGGAAATGCTCTTCCTACAACGCAAGACTCACAATAGCAATAGCATGTTACCGATGTCAATATTCAGTGGATCGACCAGAATGCAAACCTAGTGGCAGAAGAGACTTCTACGAACGTCATTCCAGAAGTGTCAACAAAACGTGGTCCTTTAAAATGGTCGTGAAAGAAGCACCGCAAAAGATAGCACCCCAACTAGAGACCAATTTTTGCTGCTTTTCTGTAAGCGCGTGATGGACGTCATGTGGATCATTTGTACACACCCAGACACGTTTCACCGAGCACACAGCAATTCCACCTTGCCAGTCCCACTAAAACTAGGCGCGAGGGCGCGTTTGTACACATTTTGGCGAAGATATCCAATTCTCGTCTACGACCTAATCGCTGTTTTTTCTTCAATGTCTCACCATCTTTTTCAAGGCAGGATTAAAATTAGCGCTTAACATTTCCAACATCGAGGGCAACCCATTTTGATGTGGGACTGTACCCGCTTTTAACGCTCACTGTCTGCCGCCCTGTTTGCCTTCCCAAGGGCTCTCATTGATCGATGGTCTGGCCAATGGCAATCCTTTACCTACGTCAGTTGTACGCCGCAAGTGACTGTCCATCTTTATTGTTTTGCATTCTGAGGTACATTACTCATGCGTCAATGTAAAGCATTCGGATAATTTAAAGTTCTTACTAAAAAGTTGAATCATGTAAACCGATGTCTATAACTGAGTCAACCAACTGTACACTAGTACTTTGCTGAAAAAGGATAGCTTTAAAATACCATCCCTATTTCCTTTACTACAGATGCCCCATCTGATTATCTACAACAACAAATTTGAGCACAAATGTCTATGCTGGCTTAACATAAAGTGGAGAGCAGGATCCACCCTTGAACATAGGGCAAAATATGCATCCAATACATGTTGCCTGATAGTTTTCGGTTTGAAATTGGGAAACACTATAACTATCCCACCACTTAATGTGGGTCTTTGAACTTTTGGTTTTTTCGCTAGTGAAATAGGAGAGTGAATACTGTTTGATTGTGTTACAAACTATCGAGAAGCTAACAATGAGACGGCAGATCACGTTACCTTGACCAGATTTCCAAGTATGTAAGGAATGATCGACATGGAAAGAATACGGCCGAGGTGGGTTTACCTAGCACATATGTGTTGTGGTTCATGTAATAACATGCCTCCCACAATAGGACCCTGCTTCTTTTGTGCGTGTTACAACATTCCACTTTATCCTGCTAGAACGCCGCAATGCATTAATTCAATGCACCAACTGATCAGAAGGCGTAAAAAACCATATGAAGAGAGAAACATCAACGCCACCCTCACAAATCGCTTACTTACTGGCGGATTGAGATGACAAGCGTCGAGGTAAACTCACGCGTGTTGACTGTAACGCTAGTTGTTATTACGTTTTCATAAGTCTGATTTGAATACCAGAAGTTTGTGCCCCTTGCAATGTCTCCTATAGCTACTTCTGACTCTAGATCTCATGCGAATTTTGCTGAGTGATCCAGGTGCTAAAAACTGCAGCAACCTCCAGATTGGGACCACGTGATGAGTGGGAAAAAGGACCTACCTTAGTGCCTGCATTCACCTGAGCGCCCTTTTCCAGGAGGAGGCGGATTATCTCTATATCGCCGACCTTTGCGGCTAGATGGATGGGCCGGTGCTTTCCACGAGACTCCAACTGCACATCTGCTCCGGCCTCGATCAACAGCTTCACGATTTCTGAGTCCATCAGCCGAAGAGCTATGTGCAGGGGTGTCGCCTTTTCCTGTCAAGTGGGGAGAAGCGGAGACATTAATCCTCAAATACAGACACTGCGCTAGAAAATGAGACTGGTCTACCAGGAAAATCACAATCCGCACAGGAAGTGACCACAACGGACTCATTTGTGTAACGATTCAAACGGAACTTACATTGCATTGCATTAACTCTTTGTTACAGACTATAATGGTACGAATCTTGTCTCGAACATGGGTATATTCTCTCGGATTCGGCTCCATAAATGCTCAAGTTTTAGATAGCTAAGTCTATAATTTGTCCTTAATCAACACAAGAACAATTTCATTTAGTAAGGAATAGCTTGAATCTCAAGAATATAATTATCTACATACTTATGGTTTAGAAACTCTTTGCAAAACCAGCCTAGTCACTTCAACCAACAAATAGACCTCAAATAAGAGGCTTGTGGCATGAAATTCCTTGCTTACACGACAACTGCGGTTTAGGCTTGTGCATTTTTGACCCTACCTAACAGCGATGCTCCGAAATCCAGCAGACGCCTGTAGCTTCAAAACCTCCAGCTGTTAGGGACTACACTAAAGCATACTTTAAGTGCACAGGTGATGATAACTAAATAACTTGACAATTGTGGCGGATTTTTTTGCAGATCAGCCTACAGTATGCCCCTTTGGAATTAAAACTCCTTGCAGTGAATGTCCGTTTATCTAAATAAATGTCTTGAACTGAATACACTTTTGTACACGGATTTACTTCTTTTAATTTCAGAACCAGATCACTGAATTTCCCTATGCAGGACCATTCAATTCTGTATATGAACACGCGTTCCCGGAATTGCTAAGGGGAGAAAAAATTGAACAGTTTTGATTGGACTTTCAAGCACTTGTAAGCGCTCAAAGGAATTTCATTCTCTGTCATGCCCCGAAGCCAATCGCACCTCCAATAGAGTTTGCACAACCAAATTACAAGATTTAAAGCGAATAATTCGCCTTTTCAAGATATCATTTATTCGCCCTCAGAAGTAGTGATCGGTCTTGAGCTAAACAAGTTCCACAAACATTTTGAGTTCACGTTTAATACGAATTACGTAGGGTGTTAAATATTTCTAGAATTTTGCCCAGATCGTCTCAAATTCTTTTTACTCACATCGTGAATTTAGCCAAACTAGGCACCTCGATTGGGCACAATAACGAAACAAGTTAGGAAGTTTTAAAAATAGAGTTGCTTTATGAGTCAAAATTAGGCTGCAAGCTGAACTATGAAAATTTTTTTCTATAAAGTCTTTATGCTAGGAATTTCCTTCCCACCCAATCATCAATTCCCAGGTAAACAGCCCCTATAAGGCGAAATAAAGGTCCTTTCAAAACGTTTTAAAGTGCTTCGTTTATGTTATTACTATGAATAGTGAAGGAGTAATCCATCTGTGAACAACTTTATTTGAATTAAGCTAGCATAAACATTACAGAGAACCCTAGGGGCAAAGATATTTTGCCCTCGCTCGACTATTCGCGGATCAACCAAAAGTGAATGCTTTGCATTTGCTAGTTTCGAAAACCTTAGTAAAAAGGCGCATTATTTTCCATGGATCTCGAGAAAATATAACGGTCAGAATGTGGTAACGCGCATCACAAACCTCTTAGATTTAGTCGTTGGTATAGTTTGCTTATGAACCCCCTCTTAATTCATTTGAACGATTTCGTCGAAGTGGCAATTGTTAGTTTTGAGAAGCATAGAAGTAGTTTCAGTTAAACTCATTAACAGATCCTCATTACTAACTTTAAATAGTAGAAATAAGAGAAGTGTATAGCTCATTCTTACTTTGGCTTTAGCATTTACAGAGGCTGAGTGTTTGAGTAGCAATTTGATGGTATCGACATGGCGTCCGCGAACCGCGAAGTGAAGGGGCGTTTCACCGCGCATTGTCACCTGATTCACATTGGCGCCGCGTTGCAGAAGCGGGGCCGCGGCATCCGAACATCCAACAAAAGCCGCCGCATGCAAAGGGGTCAGACCAGCCTAGACACAAAAGGAAGGAGTCACCGCTGATGTTTTGTTTCATCAGAGAGCACGAAGTCAAACTGAATCGAGTGGAAGGATTGACCTTCAGCAGGATTTATCTCCCAAATGTTTTTCTTATTTGACTGAGCTTTCTCCGCTGACAGATTAGTGAACAAATTTCTTTTAAGTCTGTATCTGCTCACCAAATGTCCTACCTCCTTAGATAGCCAGGCTATGGCCTGGAATTAACAAAATAAGTTCAAGCTTTGGGTCCCTTTACCAACTGTTTACCTTCCTCTTTGTGACGGTTTACACCAGTTATTTTGATGAAGTGGAGATTAAAGGATCGAAAGTTTGAACCTACATAAACATGAAAATAAGTTCGTCTCAATTCAGGTATAGGTAGAACATTAGGATTAACATGATAATATTGATAGGATAAGCATGTTTTCACCGCTGTGAAATTTCATTTACATTACCGTAAGTATTTACTTTTGAATGTTTCATTCTGATAAAAGGGAGGGAGAAAGAATAACGAACTACCTGAGTGGTTGCATCGACGATGGCGCCTTTTTTGAGAAGTAGTTCTACAATCTTCACCGTCATCTTTTTACAGGCAATGTGGAGAGGAGTAAAACCATTCTAAAACGCAAAACATTTGAATTTAATACTGTCATCAGATCAACCGTTTTTACACTCGTGCAAACGAAATATCTTCACCTCACAAAATAATCGAGCATTACAAACAGAGGAGGTAGAGGCGAGTTGGAACGCAGCACAAATGTCTGATCCGAAGTGCTTTTACCGAGAGTAATGATGAGCTCGAAACATACGTTTAAGTTAGCAAAGGGGTATGTTCACCAAAGTAAAACCAACTGTTCATGAATTTTGCACTTGACAAATCACAATTTCTTCACGCACAGAGCACTTTGACACACTCTGAATCAAAGAGCCGGCATTCTGCATGTTAGATGACTGGTTCCCTTGAACAACGAACTACTTAAGAGCAGTAATACAAAGCTGAACTTTAATAAAATCCCGATACGCAAGAAAGTGGACAAAATACCTACCGTGTCGAAGGAAGCTAGAATAGACGGCGGACTTACAAATGCACGAAGGTTGGGGTCACAACGATGATCCAGAAGTACTTGCGCGACCTTCATGTTGCCACAGTGAGCAGCGATGTGAAGGGGCGTTAGATAGTCCTTAACACGCACGGTAAGGGAAAAATAATTAGTAATGAATGCCGAGTTATGATGTCAACTATTGTAGCGAAAACACGCTTATCGAAACATATTCTGCTCCTTTTTTTCGAAAATGAGAAATGAAATGGATTCCCCAGTAAACTAACAATAGAAAACGTTAGTTCCTAGGATTTTTGCATTGTGCTAGCACATCTTTTGGTTATCATAAAAGCAAAAGTACAATTTCATGGATTAATGAAAATATGTTGTACCAAAATCGTAATCTTTCGCTGGTGTACAGGTGAAAAAACCCTGCTGTACTGAATCCCCTCCCGTAGATGGGATTTAACTTTGAAAGGCTTCCGGAAATTGACAAGTCATAGTAACATAAGCAGTAACTATCGTGTCAGTGATGCGAAAACTGAGAGTAGGCCGATACAAGCATTGGAGGTTATCGATAATTTGAAAAACCAGCACCTTGTATAAATGCTCGCCGAGAATTGAAAGCGAATCGCTCGTTGAGGAATTTACTCAACCAATTCCCTCTTCAGAACAAAAGTAATATTTGAATGAGTGGGAATAGTTAGCTTGCAGCGTGCCTCTTGCGAAGCAAACTAGAATTGTCACGCACTCTGATGATTGGTTCAGATTGCTTGACATAAGATGAGGAGAGTTCGAATGCTGGGTGATAGGGGTACAAAAAAGGCCTTCGTTACATGAAATTACAAAGATGTTCTTCATTCAGTTCCATAAAGTATTGAATGACTTACCATAGTTACATCATCCGGTGGTGATCCTTTTTTTAACAGTAGTTTGGCTGTATCTGCGTGATCGCTTTGAGCAGCCATATGAAGTGGCGAAAGACCATTCTAAAAGGCGTTACAACAACAGGTTGGCTGTGTAAATAAAAACTTAAAGAAGGCTTTTTGACTGTCAGTCTGGGCTTATAGGGTACAAGCATAGGAATGAAATGGAAGCGCGTCGGAATATTCACTACAAGATCCAACCCCTCTGAGTGTGTTATTATTAAAAAGACTTAACTACGAATTTATAATCGTTAGCTTTCCATTTTGCTATCCTCCTAATGATAAATGCGAGGTAGATTCAACGCAGTGGTGCTAGCTTTATGCGTAGCGGTGAGGGAAAATTCATACCTGACGAAAGACTAGTCAGTAAGCTGGGTGGAAGGTGTTTAGAAAACACGGCAAGCTCGATGATTCCGGTGCTCAATTAAGGAAAAAATATATTAAACCAGCTAAGTTAAAAAGACCTCATCATTCCTACAGTATCCCGCTTTCACTTCAGTAGGTAGAACATTTAACAAGTATTTATACCAATCTTTTGAACTGTGTCCAGGACCGTAAATGAGTGGGATCAATCTACTATTTGCAATGTTGAATTACCTGGGCTCTCAAATGAATAGCAGTGAAGGATGATGTGCAGCTCTAATAGTAGAAAATGATAGTCTGTAACTGTTTTCGAACAAAAGAAAAAGCGGAATCTATGCTAAAATATGTCAAAATCTCCAAAAATATTTGATTGACTTTTAATTCGAATAGATTCTCTGCTCGCCATTCATATGTAATCAACATAGAAGTTGAGAATACAATTTAAGAAATACGAAGTCCTGGAAATCGCACGTGATCATCAAATTATTGCCATAGAAAACGCATAAATTTCTCAACTACTTACAAGCCAGTTTGCCTACTCACACATTCAGAAAGTAACACGAGGTGTCATAGTTAAGAGAGGAAGGAAGGAAGGACGGAGGTAAACGTGATCTCTCACCCTTGTTTTGGCGGTGATACTGGCGCCGGCGTTGAGGAGGACCTGTACTACGTTGGTGTGGCCGGAGCGAGCCGCCGTGTGCATGGGCGTGAGACCGTCCCGCGTCCTCGCGTCTAACTGAGCGCCCTTGTCGATCAGCAGCTGCGTCATCTCCACCTTGCCCCATTTAGCCGAAAGGTGAAGAGGCGTTATGCTGTCCTGGATAAGGCAATACTATGCTATACGCTACCGCACCAGGATTTAATAGTGGGATATTAAACAATATTAAATAGATTCTGATAGCCGGGTACTCAGCTCAAACTGCGTCTCAATCCACAAGTCCTACTTTCGCCACCACAACTATACAAAGAACTAAAAGGAGCCCAAGCATCTTTTGCGCATCAATGAGTAAATGGGTAAACTAGGATCACACCTGGAGAACTGAGAATGGATGGCTGAATGTTTCTCTGAAGTGAAAGCTTTGTAAATTAATTAGAAAAGCAGCTAAGACAGCGCTCACAATCGATTTGGACGGTGGAAGGGTAATCTAATGCTAGTGGAATCAAGACAAATTGTAGTCTGAGGAACTGTAAGGTGTATGGTACTAGGTACAAAAGGACTGGAACAGGTGAGCAAATGCGATAATGCCCTCAGCCGAAAAAGTGCAAACAAAGTCACCAATTGATGGGTAAATTGGGATATTTTGAATGATTATTGAGAAGCCAGAGCTAACAGTATCAATTAACTCAAGTAAATCCAAAACGTTTAGTTATGGGATAAGTAAAAAGCAGTGCTATGAAGTCACTCCTTCGCAGTAATGAAACTGCTCAAATTTGACATTTTAAAACACTTTTTTATTGCAAATTATCATTTTACGCAAATCTTGTAAAATTTTACAGACAAACTCTTGCTATTTCGACTGGGTACAGTAGATTGTTCACATAGCTACCATTTGTCGCTTTAGACGATATCAAAATTTCATTTGTCTTCGACCAAGTGTTCTGCATTCTAAAGTCTTCATTATAGCATTGAAGCCAATCGAAGGTAAAATTGCTGGCAGGCACTTTAATCGCCAGCGTTTTCTTTAAAGGCTGACACCAAAAGCTTATTGCTCAATGCAATTGGGAGGAGCGGAGCCTCAGAAAAAGACGTACTTTGGCGCAGCAATTGACTTCAGCTCCGTTGTTTATCAAAAGGCGGGCGACCTTTAAATTGCCGTATCGAGCTGCGATGTGTAAAGGTGTAAAACCACGCTAAAATAGATAAGAGAGACTTCTCGGTCAAATTATGCCAAAAATCATGTTTCTTGAAAGAGGACGTGCGGTTTGTTAAAATGTAAGACCAGCAATTTTGATTTTGAAAAACCGCCACCTTGTAATCGGTTGCAGTGTTAAGTATGACCGTGCTTGATTGTCAATTTACAAAAAACTTGTCGAATTAAGTCCACGCGTAATTTAGATTTTTGGCAAAAAATTGTGCACTTTACCTGGTGATTTGCCTGTAGTCTTTTTAACACTAGGCCCAAGTTCTGACATGGTAGCGGTTCTTGACCTCGAGCATAAAGTGCAACGAATGTAATCCCTACTACGCAATCCAACCTTGACTGGTGTCCCATGAGTAGTTACGATGATTTTACTAATCCAAATGTCACAGTTGATTTAAAAACTGAATTGGATTGCAGACATGTTTGTTTCATTGCCCTTTCATGTTTACCCCCCTCCATCAGCGAATGGGTTTTAAAAGAGGCAATTTGAGAGGTAGAATTTAGGCTTATATCAGAAAAATCCACTCCAAGGTCATTCCCTTGCTGTATTACTCTACCATTTTTAATGCACACCTATAACTTTGTATTAGTACCTAAATATGATTGACATTAATAACAAAAACCTACGGCTATGATATTTAAGTGATTTGAGAAAAATTGTTTCACCTCAATAGGATTTGTTTTAATTCATAAAAATTGAAGGTTGAGGTGGGGAATATGGGTTGCGAACAAGGTAAGGATGTGTCTACACGGTCCTGGGGAGCCAATAAACACCAAAAGGTTAAGTAAAAAACTGGGTCAAGTGGCAACTAATTCGGTCAAAACTTGATTGGAATTCCATAGGGGAGGCTGATTTGCAGACTATTCTAATCAATGTATCAAACTAGTTCAGAATAATTCTTTCCATAAATGGCGGACGTCATACGCTTCAATTACTAGGCACTCCAAAGTGTCTTGCTTAAATTTGGAGGGAATTATATGAGCCCTTGGTGATGCTTGCGTGGTCATTTCCCCTTCTTTTATAGTAGTTTGAAAACGTGTTTCCAGGCATCGCACAAAAAAATTGCACGTTTTTTTTCTCTTGTTTTGAAAGAGAGAATAATTATCCTTTTAACCACACAGTATAATCAAATCCTTTACTCAGTTGTAAAGCAGCTGGGGTGAAACTCTCCACTTAATTTACTGATTACATAGAATAATATAAGAGAGCATAATGCGCGGATCGGATGGCAAATCTCAGGGTATTTGAATGTGATTTTTTATTCCCTTTTAGGCAAGCACGAGTCCCAGGTAATACAATTATCGTGACCTAGCCAGGCATCTAGAACCGAACCTAAAGAGTACTAATCCATTATGGATTAAAATTACCGTGTATGCGCACCTGAAAATGCGATTTTGTTTACCGGTCGTAGATAAAGTCTAGGCACACGTACTTTTAAGTCACGGTGGTTTCAAACTGACAAACATTCATGCCTTTTAGCAAAGAACATTTAGACATTCAGAGGAAAGTGAATAGATTCGGTAAGAACTCTGCACGCTCGATTGATTGGTGCTTTACACGCAAAACTACAACTCCGCCCACTTTGCAGGAGGATGAAGAAGGAGGGGAATTTTACGCGCTTGTCTCTACCCTATAGCCAATCAACTGCGACCTTTCATTGATCCCCTCTGGCAACTTCGGGCCTGCACACGTGTGCTAGCACAAGTGTTCGGCTTCACAAGTCCAACACAAAGTAACAAAAAGGACAAACGGACTTTTAAGGATGCATGGTATTTCGCAAAAATATACTGATTCTCTTTTAGGTTAAAAACAACTTTCTAGTCGCTCTCAAAGATTCCGCGTTAAAACCATGTCAAAAGTCTATGCTAATTCATTGGGATTCCAGAATGTGTTAGCAGTCACATCAAGGAATGAGTGTAATGTTTTTATCAGCAAACATAAAACGCATATTCCTGAAATCTGATATGTGTTTGTTATGTCCCAAATCTCTTCATGTGTGCCAGCACACCCGCTGACCACATAAAAAGGAAATGCATCCAACCTATGGTAGTATTGTGGAGCTGAGTAGTGGCGTCGACGTTGAGATTATTTAGTGCTGTAAATTGCACTGGTATAGTATTAACCCTTTTGTAGGCTGTCACGCAACTTGATGCAGTATGTACATTTCCATTGTATTCTACTTAAAATCCTCACTCCGAATGTGTTCAGCTCTGATCAAACCATCTGCAATCAATCTCCCATGGTTATAAAATTTCATACTTTTCGGGCGTAACCTGAATGCTACGTATAATTGGGGAAGTTAATCAAGTGGAGAGCTGGCTCACTGCAGAAGCGTGATTGACATTAACGTCGTTGTTGGCGAGTAGAAGAGAGACAGCGTGGACGTCATCTTTCTTCGCGGCGACGTGCAGAGCTGGAAGGCGACCCTTTCCACCCGAGTCACGCTCCAGCAATAGCGAAACCACTGCATCGTGGCAGAGCTGCAGTGCCACCGCTAGTGGGGTGAAACCATCCTGTAAAATAGGAACCTGACTCAATCATACGACCATCTCCGTTCTCTCCAATTATTCGTATGCATAGGTGCTTCAAATAACGCCTGCCTACCCACTAATGGAAGAATTCCACTTTTAATAACTGTCATAAACATTAGTTTCACGACGTGAGCCTCCCATGGGAGTTAGCAGTCAATGGCTTCACTTTAAGAGCCTGCCTTCACTACGTATCAAGGACACAAAAGTAGACAACCAAAGTGATAAAGGATTAAATCTACCCAGTTGTTCAAGAAGTCCAAACAAATTTACCTCAGTTAATGGATTCCTCTTACGATTGCATCGTACTAGGCCTACTTGTGGTGTTTGAAGATGCCAATTAAAAGAAAAAACACGCTATTTTGTCCCAATATAGAATCGCTGCACCGCCGCGGAACTACATCAAACACCGGTCTCATTCTGAGTAGTAGGCCACGTGTGAAAACGATAATAAAATTCACTGATAAGTTCACCTTATGTGTTGCTTCCCATTTGCATGCATACAATGGTTTCTCATTCTAATCCATCTTAATTCAACTACAATAAGCGGATGTTGAGCGGCTAATGCGATACGATGAAGAGGAAAGTACTGTCTTTCAAGCACTGCTTTTGAGCGAGTCGGCGAGTTCTTTTAACGTACCAATTCTCAAACCGTCAATCATTTTGAGAACCGTGGCTCAGATATGGGTGTGACTTGCCAAATACCCACTCCCGATCCAGTGCATTCACATGAACGCCAAGTAGGAGCCTGCAAAGTGCTTAATCTTGTAGCATTCCAATGACAGTGTAAGTGAAGCGATAAGTAGCAAGGACACGATTGAACTTTTGCGGATTGATGAAGTCAGTGTGATTGAGAGCTGATGAGATCTTTGATCTATACCATGGCCTCCTGAGGGAGCTATAAGTCAACCACACCCTCAACTTCAAGAATAGGATCCGACTGTACTACCACAATGCTAGTCTTTTTACAATCTTTTATCAGTACCTAATGAAGCATTCAATCAACCGGAAATAACGCAGAACAGTATCAAAGTTAAAAATGATTATTTTAAACGGGTTTTCCGTGCGATTTTTGAGTACACTTACTGAAGGGGTTTTATTTTATACGGTGTTAGAGATCATTTCAAAATTGATGAAGGGCAGAAGTCTTACATCAGTCGCCAAGGCCTGATCAGCCCCCTTGTTCAGGAGATATTCAACAATTTCTGTGTGGTTTTCTTGAGCGGCCATATACAGTGGTGTGAATCCATTCTACAAAAAAGAAGATAGATTCTCGTGTAAAAGGTAATTGGCCTTCCGCCTAGTATGTAGTTAAATGCCACTTGGCACAGTAATGTCGAAATGCCAAAACAGCCGTAAGATGGAGTGGCAAACATGTTTGCCCTATATAAGAACTACACATAGCCAAATATCCATTTCATTGCATAAAAAGTATTTTGATTACTCAGCATCAGCTACCAGAACTGCATTTAAAAAACTTCACTTTTTATCAATGTAAACGCTAGTCGAAAAAGTCGCAAAGTGGGCCATTACAACATCAGGCACCACCTCATGCTCAAGGACCTAAGCTTCAGCGAACCCACTTCAAGTGTACTTTCGCTCTTGGAATTCTAGTATCAAGCTCTTCACTTTTACCCCAAACAGAAACTGTATGGAGTACGCCCTGTCGCCTCAGCGGCCTCGGAGGAATTTACAATCGTCTGGCGTAGGCAAGTTCACCAATGCATTGCTCAATATCGCGCATCTAGAAATTCGCTTTTCTGATGCGAAGAGCATAGGTTGTGGAAAACATCGGATTAAGAACAACATTTGAGGGAGAAACGTCTTCATGCGCATGCATTGCCATTTTGTACAGTGTAAAACTTCCAGTTCTTCTTTATCTTTTGATATTTTTTTCTACTTTTCAAAGAATTTGAAGGCAGATCTGAAGTATCGAGTGTAGCTTGGATTTCCTTGCCTATGTTAAGTGAAAATGAGTGTCTAGTTTTTTTTATTTTTTTCTAAATTCGTTAACGCACTGACATGGCTTGAATATAACTGCATATTGCCAGTGGTTAATGAAGTGCTGGATAACAAACGAGAAGAGGAGATCGCAGTTTGCAATTCAGACGTGGTCCCCGAGCAAATATGTCAATTTTGCATAATACTTGTTTCTAATCGTCTCTGTTTGTGCAAAACTGGAATATACAGGGTGGATGGTGGCTTCAATCTTCACCTCTTTTGCCCCCAAGGCTTAATAACAATAGCTCTTATAAGTAGGCTTGTAATACTTGCGTAAGGGAAGTATTTCAAAGCACGTGAGGTAAGCGCATTCGTTTAGCAAAGAAGTATCAACTTCTCAATGGAATAGCCAACGATCGCTGTTTTGAAGCGGGGCAAGTATTTTGGAAATGATAAAATTAATGCAATTTAGGCATCTCCTTGAAAAGATGGGTTATTGAGGGATGAGAAATAACCTGAGATTTGGCATTGACATCGGCACCTCGTTCGACCAAAAGTCTAACGATTTCGCTTCGTCCAGCAAGACTGGCGATGTGGAGGGCGGTGTTCCCACGATTTGTCTTGGCATCGATTGTGGCATGGTGGTCCAGCAGTAGTCGAACGACTGGCAAGTGACCCTCCTTTGAGGCCAGGTGAAGTGCATTCAGTCCATTCTACAATCCGCGGCATTAGTGAATATACCTAGTAAATATTGCTTCTACCATTATCTTATGTAAGCAAAATTTATAACTTTCAGCAATCTCTATCAGTAACGCTTCAAGTTAAAAGTTTTTGAAGATTGCAAGTTTCTGCCGGATGGATTACCCAAATTAACATCAGATTTTACTACATGGAAGTGGATAACAGGGTTAAACATTTAATTCATGCCCTGAAAAACTCTCTAAATGAAATATCAAGATAGTTACTTTAACTTAGCGATTCAACCCTCAAGATCTGTTTACTGTTAATTTCAGTGACCAATGAGTGGATTCAAAGTATGTCAAAAACAAGACGGATATACAAGACTTCGTTCGTGAAGCTCTACCTATTTTTCTGCTCCATGCTTCGAGCGAGATTTTAAGGTAGCGACCAAAATGGTGTGCGCTAGCCACTGAAAAGAGAGTCAGCTGTGTAAAAGGAGGCTCCTAGTTCCTGCTTCGTCGTTACTGCTTAAAATTAGTCGTCAATACTTGGCTTATGAATTCCTGGAAGGTAATCCGGCCAAGCGATATGCGCCCTCTTTTCATTGGGACTGAATGGGCTCTTCATTTGAAGGTACTCAAACAGTCTCTTCACAATTCTGGCAACCAACTAGTCAAAATTTCGAAAGAACCAGCACAATGTCATTTAAATTAGACACAGTGTGTTATGGGCTTGAATTGTTAAAAAACGCAAAGAAATTTCAATATTACGAGTCGGTATACGATGCTGAAAAAAATTGCTTTGGTTGAGTTAGAAAAGAAAAAGAAATTTGATGTGCGAGAAGTCTTTCATGTTCCAAAGAAAGTTAAGATTAACTCTTAAAAAAACTACATTCGCCTGAACGAAAAAAACTATAGTATTTACTTGAGTTATAATACGAAAACTTTAAGTGGTTCTTTGAGTTTAATGTAATTTTCAGTGCTTTAGTCAGAACTCAGTCCGCTTCCTCGGATATCTGTCGTCCCAGTGACCAATCGTCGGCGAAGATGGCAGTTGGGGTGCCTTGTATGGAAAAGCCATAACGACGCAACGCACACCTACGTACTTTTTTGATAAACTGTACAAGAATATAAAAGTTATTAGACGACTAAAAGGATAAACTATGGTGGATTATAGGTAAATGTTATCCGACTAAAGCTTGGCACAAAACTGTTCTTCGTTTTAAAAATTGTACACTTCTTTCGTTTACACGCTTGAGTTTTCGTCTCTTACTTAAAGAGATATTTTTTTCCCAAGTTGTAAAACAGAAGTCAAGTAGCAATTTTCGACTTTTCATTGGGCCGCCACTTCAAGCCCCCTTTACTTCACCGAACTTCGAGCATGATGCGTAACTTTACTATCACGAGTGTTTCCAATACAACGCCAAGTTTGTTTGCTTGGTAGGGAATCATTGAGACAAGCACGTTACCAGTAGCATCTGCCTCATTGTGCAAATTTCCCCCTCTACCGTGGTAAGCTGCTGCTCCTTCTCACATAGTCGCCTCCGCCCTTGGGCGAAGGTGGGTATCACGCTACACCGTCGCCACGGTGGCTTGAGGCAGAGGGCTTACAGGGCACTAATGCTGACTCTCGCGCACGTCGGCAGCGATGGCCGGTTTGGGCGAGGCAGCGCGTCGACATTGGCTGTAGGCCTTGACGAAAAAATCGTCCTTAACTGCAATAACCTTACTTCAACAGCACCAAAGGTGCCAGTGCCAACTGTTGGGACCTATTGGTGTGCATATTGTGAACGCAACTACACTGTACATCTCGACCAGCAAACACATGAAACAGGACGGTTATTCATTCTCCAGCCTTATTCAACTGGCTTAGTGTCTGATTTAATTAGCGGACGAGGTTTGCTACCTAGTAAGTTCAAAGACCCAAAATTGTATCCACATTGGATTAGCATGTGTAAGTAAACCAAATTTCTTCGAATAATTCAAACATGAATCCGTGCGAAAGCCAATGACCTGAGTGCTTAAGAGCAAACGTGGGAAAGCATACCAAATACCTATCCCAAGCCAATTTGGCTGCTATCAGACTTTTTCCCATAGAAAATGGCTAATGCAAATGTACAATAAACAGTCTCTTTGACGAGCTGTTCAAACTTCGCCAATCACTCAGAGAAAACGGAAGATTTTGGTTGACATTAGTTTGTCAAGTATGTCATCAACTGACCGTTAAACCAAAAAAGGATTAAATTATTTGAAAAAGAAACAGCCAAGATAGATGGTATTTATCTACTTTGACCATAATTAAATCTTATCAATGAGCCAGGGCGTTTGATAGAATGACAAATTTTCAATAGGAAAAACATTGGATAAATCCCTAGTAATGCGCTGTAACTAAATCTTAGGTGGTAAGTTTAAATATGAAGTAAGAAGAATTAAATTAGCCACGTATTTTTATGCAGTTCGCCACCACCTCAAGCTGTGAATTGCCCTGTGGTAATACTTAGTATCTCCTTCCATTTTCGCGGGATCAGAGCAGTGCTTGAGCAAACTATAATAACTGTAAGGCAACTATAATAATCATCACAAAAAATAAGCAAAATTCGGGCTTAATACTACAGTAGTAGGGCAGTAATAGTGTCCTCATCCAGGACTTAATAATACTTACAAAATTGGGCAAACGGTTACTTTGCTGTGATGGCGGCATGGCTGCTTTAACCTACAGAATTCCTGCCATGCTGCTAACTGGAACACTTTCGCAATCTACATTGAGGCATATTTGCGCATCAACAGCTCCTTGTGAAATTAACCTAGGGGCATGACCATTTTACTTTTAAACTCACAAGTTTCTATGCTGATGCCCATTCAAGAACACGTATTGTCGAAAACTGCAGACAATATTCACTAATGCAAATTATATGGAAGCCACAAATACACCACACACATGACTTCCAAAGTTATAAGTAGTATTCCCTGGGTCAGTCGGTCGATATACTCACTCTTTCAGGCATAACGAGTAAGGAAGTATTCATTGGTACTTGAGAAGTGAGACACTCACCGAACTGACGGCGTTGATATCAACATTTGAATTGAGATACTCGGCTATCTTCCCAATGTTTCCAGATCGGGCTGCACGTAGGAAACCTTGTTTAGGTTCGGTCTGTTTTCGCGGCCCACGTTGACCAAGGTGCATCCAAAGGGGGAAATTTCGCGTGTGAAGGGGTTGGTCGGTTTCGCGCACCGTGGCGATGGAAGTGGGAGGAGGGGGAATGTCATCCGGGTTGATTACGTTGTAGTTGCGTGAAAAAATGGGAGGAAGAGTAAAACATCGACGGTTAGAATTTCGCTGAATGCGTTCCAGTAGATCCTCTCGTTCCCATTGGCGAATGCTTTTTCTGATGGGAAAGCAGGCGGTGAAGGAAGCACTTCTTCGTGGCTTTCGCTCCACCGTCTGACTACCCCGCTTTAAGGTGGATGCGGGTGTCTTCTCATGAATCATTGTCGTGTAATTTTGAGGGAATCCTCCAATTAACCTTTTACTCCTCCTGTGAGTATGTGTAAGCGTATGTAGGTGCTCGAGTAATGTGAGTTACTGAGTGCCAATCGACGGTGGCTAGAAAGCTTAAAATCTCCAGTTTTTACAAGAGCACAAGCACATGCCGTTAAAGTTAAAGGGAACCAATAAGGGCGAGGGAACAGTCTTATTCGACGATGCACACACAAGCACCCCATGTTTCTCGGTTTGAGTGGGTGAGTGTAAGCAGGTATGGCACGAATCAAGGAGTCCCTCAATCAGAGGTGTGGCGGTGATGACAACCGTTGTTCTGCTAAAATTCATGAAGTGGCGTATCGCCACGACCTCCCTTAAAGGTCCATTTATGGATTCAATTTAGTACATTAAGTTATGGCTTCAGTCGTGGCGCTTACGCGGAAGCACGAAAATCCGGTATTACGGAGTTCGCTTGGGGCCTCATTATGTGACTTAGGGAAATTTCTCTACCATCTACAAACGAAATTGTTTTCTACTGCAATGTTTCCTTCCAGTGCCGTCGAATTCAAGTGAAACACTTATTTACTGTCTTACAGTTGGGAAAGACGCGGAGATGTCCTTTTCCGTCGTCGGTTTATGCACTAGAAACTTCACAGTAAATTGTACGTGTAGATCTTTATCTCGAACAAACAATATTATACTTCGAACAAGTTTTCAACGCTACTGATTATTTCGAGATAAAAGGCATGGGTATATGTTGTGATAGTCCTTACTCCTTCAGGTTGCTGATGAATGACCCCATTAAATCCTGTTTACAATGACATTTAAATATCGCCAACTTGACCTTGGGTGTCATCTTCACAGCTTAAAAACAACACCACTCTGTTTTAAACTTGGTTGGTGTATAATCATGGTGAAATGCAAATGACTCGCACCTTGCTGCTAATCAAGTCGGGGCAGCAGTCACACCACGTTGGTAATTAACAAAGTATTTCCAGAAACTAAGATCGATGGCAGGAATAAAAGATAAGAAAACCGAACTTTGGCAAAAAAAAGTCGAAAAAATGAAAATAATCTGATGCAGAACATTCCTATGCCGTGTGTGCTAGGTTATACGCATCTCCCATTGTTTCCTGCTTACGCTCAAAAAGCCTCCAATTGATGGTAAAGTATGTGTTGGAGGGTTGGAAAACTATAGGACTCAAAAGCAGCAAAACAGTTTGAATTACTCACATGGGATCCAGCAGTATTGGCAGTCTCCACCATATTGCTTTTATGCATTAATGCTAGTTCTAGAATGGAATGCCAGGCATGTGGCGGTGTTGACACAGAATAGAAAATCGAACGTGATTAGGGAAGGGGCTCAGAATCGCGTGTCTGGTTGAACTTGAGCTTGAACGCTGGATGGAGCGGCCGCAGCGACCGCTTGTGCACACCTGTAGGTGCGACGAGGATGTTCGGACTGTACAACGATGTGGACGCACACGTATACAGGAAGTGCCTTCGCGCGCAGCAACTACGAGATGCAATGGGTGAAGGGGGTGGGAGGGAGGAGGTAGGGATATAATTTCACTGCTGCTGTTGCCGGTGTGGAATCCCAAGCCGATCAATATGGAGCTGCGCACACGTCACGCACTCCTACCTGTCCGGGAAAGGGGATGGGCCCTACCTCTCACGCACACACGCACCCACGCTAGCGCGCGTCCGCGTGTCCGTCCCACGGTGTCAGATGAACGCGCTCTTGCCGACCTCCAAGCGATATGAGGGCGCCTGTCTCAACCGACCCAAAGACTCATTCATCGTGCTGTTTACCTAACCATAGCTGTTCCAAGTATCCAGATTGGTAGTAAAACGCAAAATTATTTAAAAAACAGATCCAGTGAATTTGCTGTAGGCAGACGATTCGATAAGGACCGTAAGGATTACACCCGGGCAAATTTGACATTTGCTTTTTATGCGTCTATTCACACTTAATACTTACTCCCACTTGAATGTGACACAGAAAAACCACCTTACAAATGGTTGGAAAAATCCAGAATTAGGTTATTTTCACACGATGCACACTAAATTCTGAGGATTAATTATATGATAATCGAAGAGAGGAATCTTTTAACAAAGTGTGCAGAGCATGTGATGTAGATATTAACTTGCCTACAGTAATGTAGGTGTGATAGTTGAACAAGCGCCTATGACAGCACAGCACCGGACTTTTTAACCTGACTCATCACGAACACAATGGCAACCTACCGCAGAGTTTGGGTCACAAGTAAAGTGACAGTTTTTAAGCGATCTCGGAAATTCAGGCAGGTACCAACCAAATTTATCTATGCATGCTTAAATTTGCCTGCTTTCGTGAACATCCAAAGTAAGCAACGAACCAGGCAGCCATGAAATATTGAAGCATTCAAATCAAGTCTTCAAATCCACTTCGAAACGGTCCAATAGAAAAATCAACGACTAGCACTTTCGTCCATAGCGAACCCACAACACGAATTGGAAAAACTGCTAAAAGAGGTGCAATGTCACTTTGGCTGAGGCAACACTTCATGCAAGTGGAGTCTCTTAAATGCAAACATGTTGATACTTCTTAACTAGAGTACCGGAAAAAAAGTGCCAAATCTACCTAATTCGAAGGAAGTTATTGCGATTGAATGTGAAATTTCACCGCTCGTATAGTTGAATAGTGATGGGGCTAAAGCTAAAAAATCTAATGCAAATACTACGTTTTTGAGTTGCAAACGTTACCCTCGTTCTGTCCTACTAATAAAATGTCACTTTTTTATCCCATTCATTGAACAAATTACAACATTTCTAAAGCGCAGCTAGCAAGCGCGTATTTTCTCTCTAGTGCCGGACGAAATTATACCATGGCGTGCGGGATGCATGGTATCATTCCGGAAGCCCGAGGATTCCGTCCTCCGCGAAAGGTGACGTGTATCTCATACTCTTAGTGAAATCACTGACGAAATTGTCATTCATTGGCAAAACTAGTAAGGGTTCTTTAAGTGTTTAACACAGCGAAGAAGGCGTGACAGCTGAAGACTTGTAGTGACACACGGATTCAGGGTAGGTGATGAGGATTCACGACAGAATGATGAAGTCAAGTATCGCACTCGCACACCCCACACTCTACCTTAGGGGCAACGCCGTCTTAGCTCTTGGAGCTGCTAGCACTATTGGCAGGAAACAATTACCCCGAATGAAATTTCCGCAAATTTATTGTAAGTGGGGCGTGTAACAAGCCTCTGGGGGCCTTCAATCCCACAAGTGGTATTTTAAAGTGAGAAAAGAGCAGTCAAGTTTATTACTAGTGTCTTTCACTTTTACGGTAATACAGTGAGAATTTTCTCTGTTTTTGTTCCCCTTGCTCGCCAACCACGACGTTCATCTGCTGAATGGATCTTATTCGACGTGTGAATTTCTAGTTACAATAAAAATTGTCAAAAAGAAATTAATGTCAGTTTCGCTGTGGATTAAGTCAACAAAGTGGTTCTGTTTATTTGACTTCCTTTTTTCTGACCCAACTGCTTGCTTATCCTCAACGTATTCGAAGTGGGGATGCAATAAGAATGAGCAGAAAGGATGGCGATTCCTAGTCATTTTTACTCGATTTTTATACTTATCAATGCAGGTGATTAGTAGGAATGGCACTACGAGTCTTGCAGTTGGGACCTCTCGAATTTTCAATCCAATATCAATTAGGAATTCTGCAATTAGACGGGTTTTAATGACAGCCTCCACTAAGCAAACGTCTGAACCTACTAATAACGATTATGTAGTCGACAATTTAGCATTTTAAACGATTTTTGAGATTAAAAATGCTGCAGTTTGTGGATTTTTAATACGATATATGCAAGAAATCAACTTTCTATTTCATTGTAAGTGCCCGTATAGTGTAAATGCTTGTTTATAGACCTAAAATTTGTCTTGAATTTGTAATTTCTTTTGTTTTACCAGAAACAAATCTTAAAAAATACTGCGATAGGAAGCTGGTGTCTACTCAGGACCTAACTGACCAGTTGCACCACTCAAGAAGTGCCGTCCGACTTGCACGATGACAATTTTAAAACGGACATCTAGTGAAGAGAGCAATTCTAAGTAGAATGAGAGAGAAGACAAAGAGAGAATGATTTTGAACTTTGACTTATACTAATTATTGTATAAAGGTTTTGATTTTTACAGCCACTTAGTCATGGCAACAACATTATGGCACGCAGCCGCATGTTGCGCTCGCTAAGTCCGTGGTGCGATGTTGAAGTGATTTGTGGATGATAGCCGAAGAGATCTTGCTTTAATGCACCACTGAGAAGCATTGAAATTAACAGGTGTCATCACAAGCATTCGACATCGGAGACAGCCTAAATCAAGTACCAACCCATAATAAAAGCCAATCTCTTTTTGCTTAGATGCATAAACTTGGAGCTTTGTCACTTTTGGTACCTACTACTTGAGTACTATGCGATGCCAATTTAAACACGTGTTCGCTTAATTTGATCCGGAAATACGCCACGGAAACTGCATAAAAAATGAGGCTTATTGTCATAGCACCGATAACTAGACAAGAGCAGCTAATTGTCAAATGAATTTCCAGTATTCTCAGCTTCAACCAATTAAGTGGCCACGTTTTGGCCAAATAAATGCCTTTGAACAAGGTACAAAATTCAGAAAATCTGTGTTTTCCAAAGGTAGAAACGAGACATTTTACTTATAAAGACCTAGTAGTATATGCGTGGTCCTAGTCAGCTGTACAAAGACTTGTTGATTCACGTATTTTTAAAGCGTTGTTTGATTAATTAATTATAACTCAAATTTACTAAGCGGTTGCATACAAAATCCTATTAAGTATGGTTGAATGATTTGTTTTAAATTTTCTCTATACCAGTCTGTAGCAGACAGGTAGGAAATCATAAGAGTTCCTTCGAGCTGGTTTTAGCCTATTTTCACAAGAAACTTTCGTGTTAGCACGCCAAAGTGTTTCATGAATACACTAATGCAAGGTTGATTAGATGAAATGTGAAGGGAGAAGGCATATTCAAATGGCTTTTAGTTAGGAATCAAATATTCTAAGTTTTTGATCATTTGTAACATGAAGTAAAATACCACTCTCTGAAGACTCAACTTGGTGGCATTTCCATGCATGGTGATATGAGGAAAGCCAGTAACAACAGTAGTGAAATAAGTCATTAGAAATGGGTTTAAATTGGCTTTAAACTCTGGAGAGCCAGCAATGTATTTAGAACAGAGTTGGATCAGTTAGTTTCCGACTTAAAAAGATTCAATCATTGCTTAAATCTGTGGTACACATGACACGGATTTTTAAAAAATTATAACATAATGGGTGGCAGTTATTTGCAAATTAACCCAAGAATTCGGTTTTCTAATAATCACGAACACAATTATGTTGAGGCGTATCCAAATGGTCGACATTTTACGGGAAATTCAACAATTTGTTATAAAAATGTAGCTCAAAGACTCAAATATGGTTATCAGTAAAGGGAACTGCTTCAAGCCTTAAAAATATTGTCACTATAATCAATGTGGACAACTTAAATTAGGTGAATTATTCATCGCCCCTAATTTATGCACGAGGTTTGTTATCTGCGCAAGTGAAAAAAGTGTGTTGAGCTAGCATTGAAAATAAGGGCGCGTTTCCCATTGGCATTCGATTTTCGCAAATAGGAGTCGGGCCGGTCTCTTCCTTTATTGAGAGGGTTATCAGTGCACAGCATGTGATCGTTGTGGCCCTCTACCAAGTATGCATTGTTTACGTTCACAGCTTTTCATCTAATCAAATGAGAGCGTCGTCACTTGTAAAGGCTGGCGACCATCCCACACTGACGACTGAGTTGTTCCACTAGGCGACGTTCATGTTATGTCAACTAATGAAACGCGCACTCAGGTGGGTGTGTTTAGGTTTTTACAAGTCAAAGAAATGCCAAGTTATGTTACACTTCTTTTATTCATGGCTTGGGGGTAAAGAAAATCACGTCACTTCCGCCTAACCCCCATGATCACCAAATAACAATGCTAAAGTGTTAAGTATTTAGGTATTTTACTGAGAATTTGCCTTGCACACACCGACCTGGAGTGAAGTTCTGAAGACTATGAAGCAATTCACTTGGTAAACAGGTGTGATATAAGGGTGCCATTCATTGAACCATTACCCACACCCTGTTTCCAAACTCACCCACCTTGAAAATAGTCGGTGACTAAAAAATGCCTAAATTGCAACACAAGTGCATACAGATTGAAAAAGCTTTCAAGTCTGAGTAAAATCGAACCACTCACTGTCCGAAAAGATCCTTTGCCATGACAAAGGGCTCACTGCCTACCTCGAGTTTGGTTTTATCCACAAAAAGATCAAAGTGATTATTTTCTGGGTGGTCCGAATGGAATTTCGTGTCTTAAAGTTTTTTTTTCAAATACTCATCCACTTTGTGATGCAGGCTAATTCCTGTATCCGTCCGCACTTCCAACTTGTCAGATAAATAATGCATTATTTTCTGCTAAGAAATTATCACCTGTAGTTGCCCAGGCTTTTATAGACGACTTTTCATTAGCACCAGCTAAATGTAGTAAGATTTGCATGATTCCCTATTATCTATTTATTCTTCGTATTATTGTTAAATATAAATTTCCAAGATAAAATCAAGTTTAGCAAAGCTTTAATACCATTGCTTACTCATGAGGCAAGGCTACTTGCAGCTAGCTGAAGCAAAGTTTCTAAAATCGGTCAGCAAATTGCAGTATATGTGGGCAGCCCCACAGTGGCGAGGATTTATGGCTCAGGCCCCTTCCGAGGCGTTCGAACCCCTGCAGGGATCATGTGGGCAAGGATTGTGCTGCGAACGCTCGCCGAAACATTTATCGTTATGTAGTCAGGATAACTCCGATTTATGGGAGATTTTCCACCCATGAAAAGCTGTCCTAGAGTAGAGATCTTCTAACCAGACCAGGATATATCAGCTAACTTTTAAGCAATAATGCTATCTTATTGAGTTCAAGCAAAGTATTAAGCTATAAACTCTGTATTAAAAAGGAATTTTGACAGACAACTCACAACGGATGAATAGAGTTGTAGCATTCCTTTAAGCTGATTTATCCCGAGTTTACTTGAATAACTAAAACGATTTCCTCTCTGATACTGGGATTAGAGGGGCGTAAAAAATAAATAACCACTCATCTCCCACTTCAGTAAGTTTTAAATTCATAGCATCTATAATTGTCTCATGAAGATGAAGATGTTTACTGTTTTGAATCAAACAAAAGTTATTATTAAACAGTCCCTTCGTGTTTGAAATTTTCCGCAATAAGGAGCTATGTTTGTTGTAATTTCAAAGAAAGGAAAAGTTGCCTACTAATTAGATTCTATGCGCAATAACCTGTGCCTATATGAGGGGATTGGCCTACAAGAAGTCGAGCGATCCTGATAATTGTTGCCAAATAAAACCGCACAACTCACTTTCCCTGGGCTATTTATTTAACCATGACGCCAACCATGAAAGGTAATTGGTGATTCTAGTTAACAAATTATAGAGGCTATGACGCTCAAGTAAACATGTGTTTGTAAATTTACAATCTACTACCGTTGGTAAATCATCCGCTGGTTATGAGTTCCGATAAGTTCAGCAGAAGTATTAAAAGAACAAAACTTCGCAAATTTGGTACGTCAATTTGACCCCATTTTACCTTTGCATGCAAAATGAGATGATCAAAGGATGGCTAAATCAGGAATGTGAGTTTATCGATAAACTTGGCTGTAAAGATGTGTACAATTAACTAATAATTTTTAATTATGATAATCTCTACTTTGTTCTTAAATTGAGATGGTACCGACTTAAGAAGTTGGCTTGGCCTATTTTTAATAATTAAAATGCTTTGAAATGGCTTTCCAAATAGGTTTTCTTTAGCCTAAATATTGAAAATTCATCACTAAAAGGTAAGTCTATTAAGAACTTTTGCTATTGGAGTGACAGAAAATAATCTGCCACTACAGCCATATACCTTGTTGTTTCAAATGGGATAAAAGTCTGCACTACCGGATTGACCAATTCAACTGCGGCCAAAAAATTGTGTAATTGAGCGCAGAACAATGGCATCGGAAATCTCTGTTATTGTTTTAACCTCAACTAGACTCGGTGACGCGACTTGGCTCAACCATCCATCAGAAAGCGATAAATAGTACGTGCCACATGCATATGTAACACCGAGCTTGGGGTGGATATGTCAGTTATTGTAATAAATAACCACCAATCTTTTAAAAGGAAGTCAAAATTGTCAAGCTGGATGTTCAAGTAAATGATTGAAATGATGGGACAACTAATGTTACAAATTTTCGCTGATCTTCACAATTAACTCCTCGAAGAACTCTGCAAAAATGTTTATTCTTTCTTCTGTAAGGGTGCTGTATTAAGATAACTTTTAGATGGAAATAAACGGTTTTATAAGGATGATTCGAGACACATTTTTGGGAATGAACGCTAGAACAAACCATTTGTAGCAACTCGTGCCAAACATTCACGACTCCTCCTTTTCCATGAAAGATTCTGAAACCTAACATTACGAATGTTCGAGGTACTACTCTACATTTATTCCCTATTAAACAATATAGCATTTGCGCAACTTTTTAAGGGTTTGGAACCCAGAGTTGGTCAGGTAACTTTTGCAAAAATGTGATTTCTTTTCTAAACTGGGGCTTGCCCGACTAAAATCTCTGTTGCCTATAAGTGGCAAGACAGTGATTGGTTGTTTACCACTAAATTCTAACGTGATTTATGTCCGAAAAGACGCGAAGATAACCGTACCCTGTCATGTATGAAGAAGAGGCAAAGGGTGGAATTTACATTGGCCTCCACTTTGCGCACTTCAAACATAATTCCAAATTTTACATTCAAACACAACGCTTAGGCTAGACCACATCATCGGAAATGAATGCGTGCACTTAACCCTGCAGAAACTCATTTCGTAGAAAAGGTGTGTTTTTGAATTTTTAAATGAATACTGAAGATAGCCAAATGTTGCTAGGAGTAAAAAGTGTTTATTTATATGTCATAACTCTTACGTGCCTTATGCGGCCTGAGAAAATTCAGTCAAGGAGTTACAAAAACTCATTCAAATAAATGGTTCAAACAGTTCTTTACCATCGGAAGTCAATAAATGTTTTGCTGCAAGTAAAAATTGTAAACGACGATTCCAAAAAACACTTTTTGCATATTTTTCTCCCGTGCAAAAGTCCCGATCTTTCAAACTAACCCGAGATAATTGAGAAACGCAAGTTTCGTCCATTTGTAAATCTAGTTACACTTGCTGTTGACAGTTGATTGAGTTACACCATTCATCCGTGTTTTGACAAGACCCCTAGGGTAAACAAACTATTGAATCGGTTTTGGTTGGCTTACTAATCAAATCAAATGTTTCCCTGATCTCCTTCTACCGCCTCGTTTTATCGAGTCTGGAGAAGACAGCGTCACTCAAAAAGCGCAAAGAAGCTGTCTCCAGGATCTAAGTAATACTTAGGTGAGCAGGTAACTCACCGGTCACCCCGCGAAAGCGGGTGTAGATGCAACTTTTTCCTGTGCTAGAAAATTTTTATGAGCCTGCAAAAAAAGTAAAGACAAAAGTTTTTTTCAGTTTACAATTGCGTGCATATACGTCCTTTGGAAAATCTCCCCAAAGGTCTACTTTTGTTTTTTTAATCTCTGAGGCAGTAAGTGGGGACTTATGCAAAGTGACTTAGAGCAAAGTATCGAAAAGGATTCTTTAAGCTCCATTGGAGTGTGTGTGTGTGTGGAAGGTAACGATTTAGGCTTCTTACTTACTCCCGAGCATTTACATCTCAGATTTCAGAAATAGGATTTGTCTTCCATCAATTCACCCACTTTAGGATTTATGATCGCCTTCGGTTGGTTCAAAGAAATCTGGCGCATGGGAAAGAGTTTCTCGCAAGTAGCAGCGGTAGCCCGTTGAGTGATGCTTTATTGTCTGTTGGTAATTTTATAACCGACGATTTGGAAAGGAAACATAGCACCCCTCCGAAAGTGAGGCTAATCGTATGTACTTTGGATGTACGTTTATTTAACATCAAATAAATGGAACAAAGTAGAATGCTTACAGATTTATGAGCCATGGGCAATTCATTTTTAATCATTATAAATTTTTGCACCTGCAATTAGGCAGCAAATGGACTATTCTACATTCCTAGCATTGGACCATAATTTTTTTCCTTTTATCATAAAGATTTTTGCAGCGATGGCTGCAAAATACGTCCTGTATGGAGTTGCTTGTGGCCAGAGGGAAAGACCACGCACGAGGCCCTGCCTTGGCCGATAATTGCTGTTCGAATAATTAATGAAGTAGAAAAAGTAAGCCACAGTAAGCTTGTGGGAAGTAAAAGTAAAAATTGCATTGAAACAATTTGTACTTCATGCAGAGCATCTGAAACAACTTTGGCTAAGGTCGCGTCGTTTCAATAATTCGAGGGTCAAATTTACCCGCCCTACCGGTAATACTTTTATTTCATCAACCTTTTAGCTTATCAGTCTTTTGGAACAAAATAATTGATCAATGAAGCAGCGTTTCTCACTTATTTACATCAAAATGGGCTGTTGAATAATAGAACTTGTTCAAGTGACACTGCTGTAATTCACGCAACAACACTTTTATCATGGGCCATAAGTTTGTTTTTTGGATGTACTTTAATTTACGCTTCACAATAATTCATATCAACAAAGCCCATGATTTTAATTAAAAATTAAGATGTTTAGCCTTAAATTACCAAATAAGTTAAGAAAATCAGGTATCATTAACCCATCTCTGTTTGCTGAAAATCCCTCATGTCAAAAAAAACTTTCCTCCTTCTGACTCTTGGTCCTTTTTTGCCGTTTGCATGCAAATTTCGCTTACGGTCTTTAAATATTTGGAAAACAGTGCACCATCGCAACCTGTCCCTAGCAAAGTGATGCCTTTTTATGGTAAATGCATTCGCAGACAGCTTCGAGCATCGAGAGATTTTGTTGTCAAATCACCATGTCATTGTAAATCGACCACAAATCAAGGTTTACTGCAAGGCTCTCCAAAAACGCACATACACTCATGCATGTAATTATTGTCAAGTGAGAAAAATGCCGTTGCCACAGCAACATGATTGCCGACGCCCACTGGGAGGGGCGGCACAGCCACGACCACAGTGGACTATGCCTCGTCAGGATTACTAAGTCAACATCTGCCACTGTTAGCTGAAGTTTCATACGAGGTTTTTCTTACTCTTACTTTCAATATAGAGGTATTAATTCATTAAAAATATGCATATCGTGCGAAGTTAGAACCAACAAATGGCGTGGTGCACTACATGGATCGCCTGCTTTGCACCGATGTCTGAGGAACTGTCCGAAATTATTTTCTTACATTGCACCTGGTTAAAATTAACCTTTCCATATTAGTGTCACAAAATTTTCCCAAATATCTAAACAGCAAATGTGAGTTTAAAAAGTGCCACTTATTTGGAGAAGGAGCAAAAAAAGTGTTATGAAAATCGTATATCAGTGCCCGTCAAAAAGATAGAGACATGGTTTTAGAGAATCCAGCAATTTTGATCTTAGAGCAACTTAAGACAAAACTGGGCTCGTGTGATAGAATACGAGATTCAAGTTTGCAAAATTTTAGTAGTGTGTTAACGCTATCAAAACGTGATTTCGCAGAACGGAGGCGTCAACATAATGCGGATCTAATATTATGCCAGGGATGTAATTTTGACGCTCGTACACATCGGACGGGATTAAAAGAACCAACCATAGCATCATCCTCCGCGCTAAAGTAACTTCAACCACTTTTTCTATAATGTGCTAAGCATAAATTTGAGGAGATAAATCAGTCCCAGGTTTCAAATGAAAGGCCACACGCAATCCATGCTGCCAGAGGAAGATATTTAGTAATTAATACTAAAGATGTTTGATTAATTATTTTCTGAAGGAGTTTTTAATAACTGTCTTTATGAATGCACAAGGATGTCAATTGATGGATACATTGAAAGAAAACTTAAGTTAAGAGAAGTTCATTGAAACAAAAAAGAATCTGAAAACAGCTTTGCATATGGTATTTGCTTACTTTCTTTAATAGCTTGAAAGCATTCGCCTCAATAATCAAGATATCTGGTGTGTAACGTGTCAGAAAAATCACAAAATTTTGTTTGCCTAAATTATTTATAGTTGGGAAGCGCAACATCTGCGTGTTCGCCTCACTTATAGTGAATGACTAACCATTTGATCCTCAGTCCTCTCGGACGTCTTTTTGGCAAAGTGGAATAGTGAAGGCTTTGAGGTGTGGTGTCGGGCTTGTTCTTTGCTGGAGTCTTTTCGACTCAACCTTTTCGAGTCGGAGTCATGAAAGGATGTATTGCTGGCATCTCTACCTCCGGAGGACACAAGAAACGCTTTAATCGATTTATTTTCGTCTTCTGCTTTGGGAGTGACCACGTCTATCCCCGTAGAGACAGAGTCGTGAAGGCAAATCGGAAGGGCTGTGGGATTTGCTTCCGCATTGGTTGGTGTACAGGAACCGCTGCTGCTATGTCGAGCCTCGACATCCTCAGCGGACGTGGAACATCGACGTTTGGGTGAGGTGTGCCGCGAGCGAGATAGGGTGCGCCACCGTTTCGGTCGAAGGAAATCGAAGCGACCCTTCTTCTCTCGAGGAGTGTTTGAACTGCTAGGTCGATGTGAGGCTTCAGGGCCGTCTCGGTGTTGGTGTTGCTGCTGACAAGGCAGTGTGGCGGATCGACATCTCTCCTCGTCGCTGTGTCGCGAGGGTGTCGGTGACCTTGACAGCCAGTTTCGCCACATTCGACGCGAGGTGAACTAGAGCCGTGGTCTGGTGTTTCTCAAACAAATAACTCTGTGCAATTTCACCCAAAGAGTGAACTACACTGTGTGCACGGCTTTTATACTATTTGTGAGGAAGCTAGCGATAGGCCAGTAGTTTCAGGGGCCTCGGGTTGGTTGCAGCTGTGTGGGTGCGTGGGTGGCGGAGGGCTATATGCGCTACGAAAAGATTGATTTTTGTACTACCTCAATTTTTCGGAGGTGGTAGGCACTCCTGGTTAACGAGGTCTCAAGGCCGTGCGGCCTATTACTTTGGCCAGGTTTATGATGAGAGAGCGAGAATGAACGAGGTTAGCGCTCGCTACAGCCGTGTCGCCCACTTGCTACTACGGTCTGCCAGACGAGTGTTGATTGGCTGATCGATTCTCAGCTCTGCCACTCCTCCTATTGGCTCTGGCTGCCTGACACGAGGCATACACGTGCGCTCGACGAATGGGAGTAGCTTATCAGTTGAGTGGGATCCGCGCTCCAAATTTCATATTTGGCAACAGTGGTGGTGATGAGCTCAGTGCTCCAAGTCGATAGAAAAAACTCTTTTTGTTTCGTGTGCAGTAGATGGAATGCTCAGCTTGAGGTACTGTAGAATTCACTACACCCAACGGTACCCATTTTCGGTCATGCGAAGGCACTGCAACTCACCTATCTGTTACATATCGCTTATCAACCTCCGCAAGCCATGCATTACCATAGGGCTTGTGTAAATATGGTTGGTCTTTAGTGCACATGGGAGTTCGCACTAATACTGTAATTTATGGTTATATTCCGCCCATGAGAACAGTGGTTTGTTATTTTTAAAGCCTCGGAATGTTCTTGGTCAGTAAGTGCATAAAATTTTCACATTAAAAAACCACTCGTCAGCGAGGTAAAATGCGGCAACCTACCCAGATAACCACAGGTTTATTTATGAATCCTAGACGTAAATTGGGGATATCTGCAATTAAATTGGGAATTGTTGTTTTCGACGCTTTGAAAGGGCATTGCAAATTTGAAGTTGCTCTGGTAATCAACTTATGCGCTAGAAAAAATAACTATGCCTGGCAGCGCAATCCTTTAATGTATATCCTACCGAATAACTTTTAACTTGCTCCCTTAATGCATTTTTTACGCAAATAAGATGAGTTGCCTCACTGCTACACGTGCCGCAGCATTGTGTTCCGCTGCTTAGTTGAAAAAAATGTTGTAGCTGCGAAGTCAACGGCAAACAAGACTCTCGCCAAACAGAAATTGAAGAATTTCACTTGAAACCTACTCGACTTTGTTGTTAATCTTACGCTTCTCGCAGTAACAATAGCCACATTCTAACCCTCAATGAAGCGTTTTTCGACTGTTTTTTATTTTTTAAATAAATTACGGGAATTGTGCATTAGAAAAAGTGATTTTGCCTGTTCGATAGAGCATTTTAACAATAAAAGAGGAGGTTGATGAATAAATACGATTATTAATGTCCCCAAAGGAAGTGATCCTTGCAAATGTATAAACATATCTTCAAATAGCACAACATTTTGGGAGAGTTAGGTGAATTTTTTTGCTGCGTTCCCAGCAAAGCGATTAAAATTCAAGAACTAGCTATTCGGCAAATATTTTAGCAAAGTTTGAATGGGTTGAAGGCAAATTTTGGAAACTAGATTATAGTAGTTTGATTAGATAAGAGATACCGAGCAGTGTAGGAGGGGAAAATAATCATGTTAACATGGGAAAACTGGATGGGTATTTTATCAGTTTAAGTATGTAGAAATGCCCCGGCAGGCTAAGCTATACATTTGAAAGTGCCTTTGGAAGAGTCCGCATTTCTGTTCCCTCAAGCCGTTGATGCCAGGCGCCGAAGGCGGTTCACGAATCCCATTGGTTATGGAAGCATTTATTCGCATTGAAATGCATGCTGCATCCCATTTTCAGGAAAAAAGCAGTTTTTCATGGTGGTCACGCAATGTTTTGGTCGGTCAAGTGTGGATGTGCTTCGTTTACGCACCTTTTTGAGAGGACTCGTTTCGTTCGTAGAGCAAATGCTCCTGCTCGATGACTTCATGCGTTAATAACTTGGCAACAGTCATTAAAAAGCACATTTGTTTAGTTTTAATGCCAAGAAAGATGATCAATTATATTTGTTTTCAACATTTTTGCGCTACGATCTCATCACAGCAGGGGTAAATTCACCCAAGTGAACTATTCACTGATTCATGCGCGTTAGTGCTTCAGGTTTTTTTTTGAGTGAAATACTCATTTCAACTCTACTGAGCCACTGATCATGGAATTTTTACTGCTGCATGGCTTGCGGTCTTTGACTATTTCGAGCAACCTGTTCATGCGAAAGGCTTTGCTGTGTATAGTAGAGGCAAGTAGTTGGTTAACACTTTTCCATTCGTCAGCTTTGTAGATGAAGAAAGTATTGAATGGAAAAGAAAGGAGGCGAGTTAAAATATTTAGACCTAGCAAAATAAACATTATGCAATGATAGTTTAAACAGGAAGCTCATCGTCTTTCAAAGTTGCATTGACTATAAAGCAAATAGCAAAGGAAAGGCTCTTTTCAATTAAATATAAAACAAGAGTGAATCCAAGCAACTGTGAAACTATCCCTTTAATTGTACGGTTTCCTAAAATGCAAATATTCGGAAGCCTAGACTTGGAAACCTGTTAACAGTACCTGTTTCCGAGATTGTAAATAATTTTGAAGATTTGTTTTGCTAACATAAGCCTTAATAATGGATTAAATTGCTCATGCTTGATCGCTGGGATGGATAGCAAACGCATCAGTGTTCTGCTAGTAACAGCACGACTTACGTGCTCGCTGACCTGACAGAAGGCAAAGGCTCGGAAAAACAACGATCGCCAACTCCCCGAACCCCCTGACCGTCTACGAAAAACCTAAGAAATCAAAGCCAAAAAGCAGAAATTAGGCTTTATCCTGTGTTATTTCTACGACTCTCAGTTCTACGGAATTATAACACTGTAGTGCCGAATTTGCTAGTTTAAGGAAGGATTCTAGAATACATTTTTGTTGTTCGGGCATTTTAAGAACTTATATAGGCTTTAATGATAAATGGAGCCTATATGCAAACGTGTTAGAGTGAAGGGTTAAGAAGTTCTTATAAAATGCGTATAGATTTATATAAAGTTGAAGGAATCAATGTAATGAAAGAAAGCAACCCTCCAAAACCCTTTTTGATAATGTGGATCCTTCTTAACCGGCCCTTCGAACCCTTATGACATACGTTATGAGGCATTCTTCCTTATATCACTAGCCCTTCCCTAGTACTACTAGCAAAGTCTCGATGCCACCGTGCAGCACAAAAATTGTCCTCAAGTTCCCGCTGTCTCATCTCTTGGCCGACGGATGCAAGCGTTTTCAGTTAGCATTGGGGCACAAAATAAGGTTGATTCGAATCACAAGCTCAGGTTTGCGAGGCAAAACAATTTGCGTTGTTTTTGCCAGAGCGCAGCGGCCATGTAGCATTGGTCAATTTATTCATTTGCAGATCACAGCGCACACAAGCCTCACTGATTCGGATTTGCTATTGTGAGCAGTGATGAAGACAAAACCTGGGAAGCGTCGTTACATTTCCATCGAGTATCAGAATTTTAGCCTTATTCAAAGTTTAACGATTGGAGAGATCTACACAGAACACAGCATATTTTTGTGATTACAGAAAGGTTTGCGAAACAGTAAACCCTTATTCGCAACCGCTATTTACGAGGGAATAATAGATCCACTTTGTAGTGGGCTAAAGAACGCTAATTATCTCATTTTCATCTTTCTAAAACCCCATTTTTTTACTACCGAGTGGACATGCTTTTCAATGAAACTGCGATACTCTTGATAAACCATCACACAGTTAACAGTAGGGGGACTTCAATGGTCTGTTTTGCGCACTCAATAATTGCACAAATTTTTATGAAATGTAAAATAAAATCGAGGGTGTGTTCAATGAAGGTGTTACCTCAAAGAAAGAAGTATGAACGCGAAGTAGTGCATTTGTCAAACATTTTGACGACCTGTCATTCTTTAAATCACCTGTGTTTGTGTGTGTGCATGAGTGCACTTGTTGCGTGTCATCATCACTCTGCCTGGACTTGTAAACGGTGGTAGAGGAATCGAGATTTTGTCATTACGTCTACATTTATCGTACTAGATTTGCTTCCTAGAGACGATCGAGAGTCATTAAACTTGACTGAGTCAAGTGAGACACTGGGTAAATTATAATAATCTAGAAATGTTAATAAAGGCTCAAAACTATTCCTTTTATTTACATACTTGAGGGAAAATTAGCCTTACTCCTTAAGTAAATAATATTTTGAGATACTTTGCATAAAGTGAGAGGTATTACTATTGCGCAGTTTTAAAAAAATATATTTTTAACAATCCTACTAATATTTTGACTTGAATTACAAGAAATGTAGCAAATAAGGTTGAGCATTGGGGATTCTGTACAGGCCACCGAGCCCAAACGTGATTGGGGGAAACCCGAATGTTAATCGACTTACAGAAGTACTTTTGCGGGGCACAAATATTTTGGATAGCCAAGTCAGAAGGGCATTTTGGCAGGCCTTAACTCTCACTGAGGATTATATCGCTGGGTAATGTAGCTGGGGGAGGCACAGGAAAGGCAAACGAAGGAGACTTTTATGGGCACACTGACAAGTAGTGATCTGCTTCCCTTCTGTGGATCGAGATCAAAGCAACAAGCATACCGGCCTCTTGTACTGCAACAGTCGATTCAGATCCTCATTGCAGTCTTGACGTTTAAGTGCATTTTGGCTGCGCAAAGAAGTTTTATCTCAATGTTGCATTTCTATTCTACTCTTATAAACATTTACCAGTATTTGAATTTTCAGTTTATTTAAAAATTAAATAATTGTGGACAGGAACTTTTTGCAATTAGTGACTTTCTTAGTAATAAAAGCTTTTTACCATAAAAGCAGTAGTCGCGCTCTACAAAAAATATTAGAACGGAGATAAATGATCAGCCTGAGGCTCGACTCACATCTCCCGACTATTTTTCGACATCACCGAGATAATCTAGAATTTCGGTGACTCCAGGTGGTTCTCGAGATTTCACTCATCCAAAGATTTTGCAATTAGAAACTAGGGTCCATCGACGTCGTAGGCTTAGAATATTCCATTGACTGTGGACAAAGGGAATTAAGTGAAAAAGTTCTGCATTTTCAGGAAGTGCGCAAATGAATCAGTTTGTGGCGCTTAAGAAACATTGACATTTCCTTTATCTCGTCGCTTCCTCAATTACAGGATGGCGCTTTCAATACCTTCTACAGAGCAAGGATGGAATGTATGCAGCTAAACTACTAGACAATTCGACCTTGACGGAACTTGGTTTTAAGAATGTTAGCTGGAGTGACATGTTAGCATTTACAAGGACTCAAAATCCTAGAGATAGCCTATTAAAAATAAGGTTATATCACAAATTCAAGCGTTATTTTAGGCTTCCGCGTAAACAATCTTTTAAAAAAGGATCCTCAAACACATTAGCGGAGGGTACTATTACTCAAGTAATATTCAAAGCTATAGTAAAGTAATGCTCAGAACTCCCACTCTTCATTAGTAAAAACTGTAGAGAGAAAATCACGCATAATGAATTGATTCGGTTCAGAGGTTCACACATTTATTGTATTGCCATCAGTTTCCAGAACAACTCGGTCAATGGATAGCATGATTGTATGCCACACTGGCTGTTTAACTTTAGGCTTGGGTGAAGGGGCAACACAAATTCTTTCCTCTTTAGGGAAGTGTTAGAGGGCTAAAATTGCTACAACAAAACTAAGTTACCATAAAAGTAAGCTTTACTGTGGCGATTCGTGTAGAAGTCCCTACTCCTTTTTTTAGGCCCATCATAAATAGACCAATTCGAGTGCATCAAAATTGACTATTTTTCAAGTAGTGCATAATGTCATAAAGTACTTCGGTGATGCATAGCTGTTAGCAAAAGTGAATGTTTTTATCCTTCAAATGGTCCAGCTTATGAATTGCTTTAAGCTAAAATGGCCTTATACTTGACGAGCTCAGAGGAATTGGGGAAGAAATTAGTTCATCTCCAGCGCAGTCACCTGGAAAACACAATTGGCACCCTAGCGACACGGTTGAAGCTGGTTACTACTCGCACTACCACAAACGGGTGTCTATGACCTCATCGAACAGCATCAAATCGCACTCCTGCAAAGATTTTCGGTCAGAAGGTTTTTTTTGATTCAATGACATTAAGCACCGCCAAGATTTCAGAAAGGGAGGGAGGGAGCCAGTGCATTTTTTGAGTTTCGGGTGTGTGGAGATCAAAAGGCGCTCGGATCCTCGTGCAGCTGCCAGTGCTATCGCTCTGGTAATCAAAATAAGTCAAGGACGGCCACCCCACCCACACTTTCTGCGTTCTCGCTTGTTTCTATTGCATCCCGCTAATAACGTAGCAATAAAGAGTAGACTGCTATGTGCCTGCAACTCGTCTAACCTCCACTCATCACTAAAGTGTAAAAAATGAGGAGAGTAACTGGGCAAGTCAAAAGATGGAACGAAAAACCGTTTTTTATCATGTATAATTTTCAATTTACATGCGTTCAACCTAAAAATCGTAGTGATATCAAATGTGATTACTATCTCTTTCCTTCAGTAATGGCTTTTACGGGTCAAATCCATTGTGAAAGAAAGATTTGGATTTTTCTGCTTATTATAATGGTTAGCATTGTTAGCTGAAAGAATATCTAAATTTATAACAGATGTCAATTTGAAGATACAGGAACCACTTGGGCTACTGATGGATTGGTAAGTACGCATGGTAAAGTAAACACTTTGCTGGCAATCGCAGTTGCTGAAATTTCATGCATTCGAAGTAGTTGAGTGTTTTAGTAAATATGAACTTCGGTGTGGGGGAACTAGACTTTCCAACCATAAGTGAAACAAGAGCAAAACTTTTTTAATGCACTCTAACCAATTTATTCACATTTAGGCAAGAGAAGGATGGAAGGTTGCCATGCAGTCTCAAAAGCACTTTACAGCCAATTAAAGTTGGGGTAGGTAAGGCCTCATCTGTTGCATAAATTTGTACAATCCGAATGAGTGTACTGCTATTTCCTTCAGTTACTTGCATAAAAGACGGATTACCTCTATTAAGTTTACGCATTTGCAGAAAATAATGAAGAAGCCCAACAATGCCATAAACCGTAGTCTTGACGTCACAGGCCCAAATGCTTAACACCTACTTTTAGAACCTATTTTAAATGAAGTCTATATTAAGGACCTCAGTGTGAGTTACTTTTATGTATTTACAGTAAACCTCATGTAAATCTTCATTGGAATGGGGCAAAAATTGCTCAAGTTTGCGTTTATATGCGCTAGTACTCTAGCCCTAACAGATTTTCTCTAAACGTCTCTGTATCATGGATTTCAGTTCAAGTCATTATTAACAGTTTATCAGTCCTCCGATATTTGTATAATAATGTGGGATATTAGCACGTGCACCGCTTTTAGTTTTTGGGGGATGGCTCTAGCACCATATTAGCTGCAGAAACGATTGGAGATAGGTCAAACGAACAGAAAGTCCAATTTGCTTAGTCGGAGAATTACAGCAAATGTGTAGAGAAAGAGGAAAGGTTCCACTGGAGTTCATGCCCCTTACCCATACATCATCAGAGAACTTCAAACACTACTGCATTGCATACGATATAAATAAACTAAATTAACCAATGTAGGAAAAATTAATAGCTAATGGGTTGGTGCATTTCGAAAGAAACGAAAATTGATGTGTAAACTACTTATAGCGCGTCTCAATTAGGGGAAGAAGCACTTCTCGCTCCTCTTCTACTTTTATACCCATAAAACGAGCAGACTGGATGAAGGAGGATAACAGTATTTAATAAGTACTGTAAAAATGCACAGAGAATTTAGAATATGTAGAATAGGAGTTTGTTCCCTCCTCAGGAGTCAATGGTACCCGCTTAATCAATAGTTTGGTGTATACTGACCTCTTCTCACCTAAAAAGGTGCATTTAAGCAAACAAGCACTACGGTCTACTTCGCAACTTTCCTGGTTTGCTGCCATTGGATTTTAGTGCTTTTTACCACGTACAATCAATAATACTCCCTACATTATGCAATTTTAATTATTAACAGCACGTACGTTGGCAAAGCGCTATGCAGAATTACCAAATATTTGCTTTATAGGGCTTTAATGACAAGCTGGCCTTCATATATAGCCACTAAAGCATATAAAATTTATTTGAAACGATATAATAAAATAGTTAATAAAAATGTTAAATATAAATAGCTTTCTGGATAGCCAAATTGCAGATGTTAAAAGTTAAACCTTTTCATCACTTAATACATGAATTACCTTCGATTTGTCTTTAAGTCCTTATACACAAGTGCCTTAGTCATACCTTGTTTAAAATTGTGGAGACGCGTACGGACATTTCAAGTGACCAGCGTCAGCTGTTGAGATCAGTAATGGCAGAGCCGGTCTTAAGAAGAGGTCTCGAATTGCAGCAGAGAGTAGTGAACTCACTTTACCCTATCGCTGTTCGTTATAATGCAACTTTGCCGAAGTGCTTTATGCAATTCAAGGACTACTCAAATTCCCCTTCCTGGGAGGAAACGTTGAGACTTAAAGGCACGTATCTTTTAATTTGAAGAAATTTGCCACATTTTCCTTGTTTTTATTTGCATAACAATGCGTCTGGATGAACGTACTATTATGCTACGCGCAAATATCCATGCCTAGGAAATCTGACTGGTGAACACTGTCTTGGTCAGTATTAAAAGTCCTGGAAGTCATTATAATTGGTTTCTCTCCCATCATAGTGCTATTTTTCGGTTTGCAGGGTATTTACTATGTTTTTAGTTGTTGATGTTCGGGGTCAAATTCCTACTTCCTTTGCTAATTCATTCCCGTCTTTACATCCTTGCTCTTCTTCTTATTAGGAGTCTGCCAGAAATTAATTTTGACTGCTAAAGTTGTTTACCATTACAGACATGCGGACGCCATCTCACAAAGTCCCAACCGTTTTAAAAGTTGTCGCCGATCATCCCATACCACTTTGTTGCAGTCTTTACTACTATGAAGTTAGCATAAGTGCTAAAAGCCAGTGTGGGTGAGTTCGCTTGTTTATGCGCATTTTTCTTCCTGATATTTTAGTTTAACTTTTTGAACTTTTTTAAGGTCCCTTAAGGTCGGTTTTTCTTTTGACGAATCTGATAAGGCAAAACACCAACGTGAGTTCCCATCTTTATTAATGAGGTCAGAACTCCTTATTATGTATTGTGTTTGATGCAAATCAAAATGTTTCACATCCAAAGTTTTACCGTAGTTTGTTAGAATCTTGGTCTTTTCAGTTCTCATGACAACATTTGGGGGAAAAATATTCTACTAGGTCGCATTTGCATATGCACAAGCACATTTACGACCAAATGAAGCATCTTCTTATATTGTGACTGTTTAAATATTTAGTGGACATATGTGTGCCATTATTACAATTAAAGTACCAGTCGGGTAACTAGCGTTTCACGATAGCTATTGCCTTGTAACGTTCTAGGTGCTTCAGAAAGCTGTTGCACCCGAAATTGACCTTTATAAGTGCATCAGATTTAAAATATAGTAGAGTTTGACCCAAGATTTATAAGCATCATTTCCACTAAATGTAAGCCTTGCAAACTGATCCATGGGATATTCGTTTTTTGTAACCGGTTTTATCTCTCATCTTCAGTCTTATGATTAATATGCATAATATGATATCAAACTGAATGTACAAATTAAAACTATCTTGCTTTTGTAATTCGTTAGGTTGCGCCAACTTTGTTGGTTACCACAGCAATACAGGTCGAATTGGCCTCAATGATGGTGACTCCACACTAGGGGACGAAGAGAATGAGGTTTGCGGACCGCCTTTTGGTGTGGGTGATGTCATTGGCTGCGGTGTCAATTTCGTCAACAATTCGATTTTCTTCACTAAAAACGGGATTATTATTGGCAGTTCTATTGTTCACAGCAAATTAGTAAGTTACTACCCCTTGTTCATATCGCTTTGCTGTTTGATGCCTCCAAAGTTCTTATCCCTCATCTGAACTAGAAATCAGGTCTTCTCTATTACTTGTGAGTAATAATCCAAAGCAAAAGTGCATTTTAAAAAATGGATTTCTAATTACTATTTCGTTGTTTATATCTGCCTCACCGCATGCCTCGACAGCTTGTTCTATCAATGGTCGTTTAACACCTTTTTTACATGCATGATTGGCTTGTATATCTGAGTGGAGCGTTTTTTATTTAAAAGAGGGTTGATGATTCCGACATCCTCACTATAAGGTCACTCTTGTTCGAGAATTGCGGAGCAGCCTTCCCAGAAGACGGCTCTCTGTTGTAGCTAGCACCTGATAGAAAATAAACTAATACGGGTGTCATGGTTTAGTTTGCTATTTCAAATTAAAGTGCTAACTGGGATTTGAAAAGCTTGGTTGTATGTGTCTGGTGGTTATCGGGAGTCCCGTTTTGCAATAATTGAGATTTATAATTCGCTGGAAGATATGCATGTAGGCTCTGGTTTAGTTAACTGTGAAGCTTTCATCAGTTACACTTTTTGAATTGACTTTTCTTACAGTCTGTGCACTTTTGTAATTATTACCCATGGGATTCTTTTTAACCACTTTGCCGGATCAGCCCTTATTTTGGGCAATTGTTTATTTATTTATTGTTTATTTGTAGGTATCACGATCTAGAGAATTTTCCATTTTCACTAGTGATTAAGTTCAACTGATTAACTCCTTAGCTAGAGAGCGACTCTAAATTTAGTAAGGAACCCTCTAAAGATGAAAATGAGTACCATTATGTTTTTGTCCATGCATTTGGTATGCGTCCTATTTTAGGCTTAAGATTAATTTGTCTGATTCTTATCCCCCAAACATCTTTGTTGCATCATATTTGATTTCATCTCTTTAAAGCCTGTTATTTTTCACACAACCTGATTACTTCACACCTGAAATGCGTAAAACCTTTCATCATTTGGGTTTTTCCGAGATCAGCTCATAAAACCTAACCATATTACCGTTATCCAAACGGAAGCCTATTAGGAAAATTGTGTCTACGTAGGTACTGGTACTCATCAGGAACAGCCGGTGACGTTGTGATTGGTGCTTACAAAGTGATACACATTCGCAAAATTTAGTGGTTTTTGCACAGTAGTTGTGCTCATTTTTTGCTAGCTTTTACTTTTGTAATTTCCAGAAATTTAAAACCTAACTGCTTCATTTAGTTGTAAAATTTTTGCGTTTAGGCTGCTCTGTTTATTGATAAACTCCCAATATCTTATCAATAATGTTTATGTCTTTCTGTCAAATTGCAGTGCATATCTGTCCTTTTCTTTAAGTGCTAAGCTTTGATACCGCGATATTACAATAGACTATGCACCTACTTTCAGTAAATCGGTTTAGGATTCTGTTGATATTACTAGAATTTTTCCTGCTGAACAACGCCAGCCATCCTTCCCCTGAAGTCCGATAGTTTTTTAGGATGGTCTGGTTGATCAAAACAATCCAATCTATTTTGTTTCCATCTGTCAGTATTTATCCTGTGGCAGAAACTGTTACTTTTTCATGAGGACTATTAACTATGCATATAACTTCTCTATCTTTCATGGGGCAGTTTGTTCACTTTTAAGGGATGTTTGAATCCTCATGGGCCTTATCAATCGTAGTCCTATTCTCCCCTCCCAAAAGCCTGCATTTAAATTCAACTAACCTACTGATCCACCCAAGTTTTTCATACTTCTTGTTCTTTCCAAAACTGTTGTCCGTTTGACCCCTGCCCTTAAACGTGCTAGTCTTCGGTTTCAAAATTGTTACACATTCCTTTTGCCCTCCTTTTTTCCTCCTTCCTCTGCTGAATGCAGAGCTATGAGACGCCTTAGCCAATGGGCTCTGGTAAGGGATCACGTAAACGAGTGGCACGTGCAGATTTTGTATAAAACGCAACACCTTATGTGCACAATATCACCTCTCATAGGATTCCTCCTGCCTGTTGATTTCTCATGAAACTCCTAACAGCTTGTCGAAATTCACCTGTCCCTGATATTTGAAACGAGGGTTTAAACTCATTTGCTTTCTATTGGGAGTGGTTGGACAACGCCATCTTCCTTGGATACTGGGGCAGAAACCGAGGGTTTCTCGCAACCTGCTTGTTGGCTTATTTTTGTCTCGCTGCCGTTAGCGATGGCTGTTATGGTCAGCCTTGGTGTGTGTTTATGTGTGTATGCGCTTGTACATATTTGAACTTGCCTGTAAAATTGTTCATTAGTTACAAATTTTCGTACTGTCTGTTGCCAACGGATTTCATCGTTACTTACTCGAAGGCTACAGTACCTTTTGCAGGTGACGGCTTTGACGAAGCACAGTTACCTCTCATCTTTGTAAATATAAAATGTGTGAGATTCTCGTTGTATTGGTGGCTTTTTGCTCTTCTGTGTGACTCTATGAGAATTTATTGTAATTAATAAGAATTTTTTCGTGTGTTTAAAAGGTGCTAGCAATTTCAGGCAGTGGGTGGATACAAATGACGTTTCCTTGTACTGGTGTTGGTTGAATCCGCTCTTTTTTTCCATCGAATGAATTTCATGCCTGACATGCCAACGTGGATTACTAAATGAAGGAATACTGTACACTACTTATCCCCTACCACTTGTCGAAGCCTTCATTAGAACTCCGTTAAAATAGTTTTCCAAGCAAGTTTAACTTGGACGCCCAGGATGGATCATCCGGTTTTATAGTACAGTGTACTTCTTGCATTTGTCCAAACTAACAGCTCTTTGAACTTGTGAATTTATGCAACTCCAGACAGATAACTATTCTTCTCATTCAAATTTCAACAGTCCTCCAATCGCTAACTTATCCTACATTCGTTTTTGTAACTATCCCCCCTGTACCCCTTTCAGACGACCATTGTTAATCACCTCCTGGTCTGATTGCATTTTTCCCAGAATTTTGCCGTCGTGTGTGATGTGACTTTTGGTGCATTTTATCCGTAAAACACTGCACTTGACTTCATGCCATGTTGGTTCCCGTAACCCCAATGTGCTTGTCCTCGTTTAGGCTGTCAATTCGCCTTCAGTATGTCTATTTGCACTTTTTGCCGACCTGAAATATGAAGGAATCTCTGAACTTATTTCTCGTAATTCTCTTTTTCTCTTCGTGAATGAGGACAGGAATTCTTTTTCCCGATCATTTCACTCCTTAAGATTATGGTATCTTGTTATTCTGTAAGGGCCAGCCGCGGTGACGCAGAACTTGTGCATGATTCCATTCCATAAAAAGAACTCCTAAAGGTGACCCAACTTCAGCTGAAAAGCCTTTTCTACCTGCAAGATAAAATCTTTGTGATCACTTGACTAGATGCGAGGAGTGCACCATCACTCTCTGCTTCGGTTTCGATGGTGTGCGTGCATGCCTCTCCCAATGGTCTGGTTGGAAGATGTTCTCAGGGTTTCTCGTGCAAAGCCGACACCACCACCACCACTGTTGCACTTCATACGTTTATTTACGCAGTCGAGTTTAACCCACTAACAGGTCTGCACACTGCCTGCTTCAGAGCTCTCTGCTCTGCCTCAGTGTGCTGTTCACTGAAAATTACCAAGCTTGCAGCTAGATCAAGTTGACACTGGCTACCAGCGTCAGATGGATGTGACAACCCGGCGTCACAACCATACGGCACGTGTTTTCCATAAGTTGGCAATCACTATTTGCACCAAATCGTGTCCCAGATGGATTGGCTGAGATTTAGTTTTTGAGTACCATTTGATTTTATCATGTAAATTAATAGTAACTGGTATCGTACCAGAACAGTCAAACATCTAGACCACGGTGGTCAAGTTCTGCCCGAGACTCTAGTAACGAACTTGCTAGAAGGCAACCTGTTCCCCAAACTTGCAATTTCTCTTATCACATAGTTAAGAATTTGCCTATTTCGTTAAAAAGGACGATGGAGTGTTGCTGACTTTATTGGACTCTCTTGAGAAATGGCAAGGTGTTTAGCATTGTCAAAATTGTTTTTGTTTACTGCACAAAACATCGCAATTTTTAGTTTGATGGATGTGTGTAGGCATATTACCACATCAGAAACTAGAAGATTGATAAGTACAGAGATGGTTGCTATGTTTGACCTCCTCCATGTGGCTTGCAAATTCATTTGGACTGGTGGTGGTGCCATTCCGCATCAAGCAGAGGCCCATTGAAACCTTTGACTGTGCTCCTAGCAATATGCGAGCTCGGATAAAATGAGTGAACTGGAGTCTCAATTGCCTCTGCTCATATCGCTGTTATGCGGGCTTTGCTACTCGTCGCCTCAGCATCACTCATATTTTTTTCATAATAGGCAATATTTGTCTTTTGTGTATAGTGTTTTTAATTACATGCTTTTTAAAATCTGCATATGAAGTCTTCCCCATCCAAAAATTTCTGAGAAAAATTAATTTTCTGCATTTTCTACCCTTAAAATGTGGGTGTCAGAAGTGCATTTCAGCAGGAAAAGTACAAAACCCTATTTCAGCTTTCCACATGAACCCCCCAGAAACATCACTTATCGTCGTGGCAGTGTCATTTGCTTTTTGTTGCTGCTTTCTAAACTGGACGGATCTGCAACTGATATAAGACGGTTGAAGAGAAAAAGTGGTTCATTTTTTCTTCCAAATTCCCTGTCAATTTGGCTTTGAGTTTACTAAATGAGAAGTGTTTATTTCTGAGATAACTTTTACAGGATCGTAAAGTAATCTCAAATCATTCTACACTGATGTGTTATCAATAAAAAAGACTCCAGGCATGGCAATCAACCTGAATTGTAAATGATGCAGTGATGTGCAAACAAAACGCCTGCCCATAAATTTGTTTCTACTCGCTCTATACGCCTAATTGACACTGTCATGTCTGTTCAATATGTAATGAGCGGGAGGGTATTTTGATGTAGAATGCAATCAGGCAATGCCTGATGTGTAAGACTGAGAGCAATAATTTAGCTCAAATTGCCTCGAGCTCTGCTTTGGACTGGATATCATACAACTCATTCCTAGTGTACGCTTCAGGCTGTGCTAGTGCCCTTTGTGGATCAGAAACGACAACTTATCTCTATCTCTGGAATGCATGCTGATAAGCGATTGCCTTTTCTTGTACTATTTCTTCCTGAAAGGTCATTTATCTTTCTTAATCCCTGTGAAATCCTTAGCGGGGCACAATTTGGGTGATCTGAAACCGGTAGTCGCACCCTAACCACAGGACTGGAGCTGCTTTCTTTCAGCAATCTTTGTTGACCTGCGTTGATTTTATTGTTTGCCATCCTTACCTCTCATCTCGTGGTTTGGAGAACCCGAATTCCGTGGAGTCTTGGTGTTACGAGCGCTTTTCATGAATAATTCCATGAGAAAACACATTCTAAGATACGCATCAGTCCTTTAGAAGAAAAGTAGGCAGTACTTACACTGTGCTAACTGCGTGTGCTGCAGTCTTTAAATCCATACAAAAGCGAATGTTTTTTGGAAAAAAAGCAATTTGAACTGCATATACTGTCTCTAGCGCTTTTTGCCTCCCAAAGTTAAGCCATAAGGCGGCGTTATCAGAGTCATTTGCAGTTATGACATGAAAATCGTATCTCGTAATAGACCGAAAAACACCGTGTACTAAATTTGATGCCCAGTCGAGACGGGCAGAAATAGGCTATAGTTCAACCAGTCACGGCCTTCCTGCGCAGTGCATCACATTTGCTAGTGGTGGCATACCTTTGCTTTCGTTCATGTGCGTGCCCCATGTGCCTGGGTCCTGGGCCCTGTGCTTTTCGCGCCTTTTGGCTATCCGGCCTCCCCCTTTTGCCTTTCTTATCGCCACCGCCTTGAATGCGCCTACATGCCCCATAGACTGCTTAACTCATCTGATTGAATCGTGGAAGTGTATTCTGGCCCCCAGTAATGGCTTACTTCTATCTCTACTTGGATTTTCTTTACTGAGTGCTCTGAAGTTAGTCCCCTTTAATGGGGCAATTGAAAAGGTTAAATAATCTGTGCGGTGGTTTATAATACTGTAAGCAAAGAATTCTAGGCGTGGTTGTATCCAGTCTGATATTTAAATTTGTTCCTTCACCTTTTGCATCTAGTATTCATCACGACTTTCCTCATGTGCCTTGCAAAAAGGCCCTTTAGGCATCTCAGCATTGGGAACAGTGCGACATTCACAGGATGAATTTGTCATGTGGAATCATACACAATTCTACTTTGGTAATTTGTACCACCTACACACGTGCAGTATGGTTTGATTGCCATTGGTTACTGCTTGATTTGTCATGTCGTAAAACACGTGACAATCGAAGGAGGTGTTTAATCGTACTTCAGCTACTTTTTCCCCTCTGAATGCGTTTTCTTTCTTCGAAGGTGATCAGTGATGGCATACTTAGTGCTAGCAGATTTATATTATTTTAAAGCTTTTTGTTGATTCACCATGCGCCACCTTTGACGCCCGCAGTTTGACCAATCCATCTTCAGCATGTTGATATTAAACATCTTTATATTGGATACCTTGGTCAAAGCATAGTTGAAGATGATTTTAAAATAAATGTTTTTTTTTCCTTACTGGTGTGCGTGTTGTTATACAGACAATAGCTTTCAAACTCCAAAAACTGGTTGCCATAACAACTACTCCTGTTGCTCTTACCACTGATGGAAGTTTGAAGGACATATCTTGTGGTCTCACTAAGGTATTGAAAATTGCAAGTGTAAATGATCATGATAGTGCGCGACACTATCGTTCTACCCTTGTTTTCACCTGAGAATGTCAAGTTGCGTACCAAATGAGTTACCATTTGTGCATCTCTGTTGAGCAAGCCTGAGTCTTCGCAGATGTAATTAGTTTTCACGGGGTAATACTAAAATGCGGAAAGCTATTTCCTACGACATTGCTTTAAAAGTACGCGCCTTTTGTTTTGACTGTTTAGCCTTTGTCTCATCTATGTATGTACTTCGATAGTACTTCTTTCCATTGTCGAAAGTGCCGGAAGCCTATGTTTGCGCCTATCTGTAGTTAATATTAGTAAAGCTCTTGTGACTTTTTGCGGTTTAAAGATGAGAAAGTTCGCCCACCGCAAGTCAACACAGAAGCAGATAAGTTGTTTTTCCTGACTCTACTGCAGGCGAATGCGGTGACGATTCCTTGTGTTATAATGATCTCCCCTGCTACCGCTTTGATCGCCAACTTTGGACAACGCGATTTCGTCTTCGCGATCGCCCAGTACCTGGCCCAGGAGCGCTGCAGCTCTGTCACTCAGGCGATCGAGGATAAACTCACCGCGGATCTGGCCAATGTTGGGATGCAGAGGTAGGTTTTTCCTACACTTTCACGTTGACTGTTCCTGGTGGAAAGGTGCGCTAATCTTACTTCTTTGTTGTGGGTAGGTGCACACGCATGTGTGCGTATGTATGTTTTCCGTATCCTTCTCCACAAAGAACTCCCGGGGAATGAGTAATTACGTTACACATTTCGCAGCGCTCGAGCGTGTTCACTGTCTTTTATCTCGTTTATAGGCCGTTGTGCCTGCCTTAATTGTACTTAGACAAATGCTGGAGTCTTGACAACAAGGGTATTTTCCAACATCTCTGCCCTCCTATTGTGTTATTGAGGTCAAGGGAAGTGGGGTCGATATGAAGAGTATTTTGCGATTGAAGGACGCTGGGATATGTTTATTAGCCAATTTCATTATGCATTTTGATGTTTTAAATGCAGAAGCAGCTGACTAGGAGATGTACTTTCCAACGTGCAAGCCACAGCACACACGCAAATGCCACTCCAGACAGGGGCGTACCTCTTTTGCTCTCCACCTGTCTAGCCTTCTAGCACTTTGGCCTATTGCTATGCGCTGCACATGCATGAAATGTGTTTACTTTGATTGGAGGGCGTGTGAATGTTCGGTGTTGTGTTTAGCTAACTCCACATTCTTTCATCACCTCTGGTCTGACTTGTTTGGGCTGTTTTGACGGGTTCTGTGCCGAGTGATTCATTCCCTAGGTGTTACTTCAGGAAAGCATTTCTGTGCTCCTTACCCCTTATTGTATTTTAAGGCCTTCGTCGCAAATCGCAGTGGTTTAATTTGTGTTATTAAAGCGCAATGAGGTTTTTGCCAATGGAGAGGGTCTTTATTAGATTTATCATGCAAATCATACTGTTTTACCTTTTGAGAAATTACACTGATGAGCCTAATGTACCATGTTTTTAGCACATTTTTTACCAGCGTCGATTACATGCAACATGTATCCCTTATCAGTTGTTGAGATATAGTTACACCAAGTCGTGGTGCGACCAAATCGGTTGTGTTTAAGGTGATCAAGCCTTATGATGTTTTTTTTTTTATTTTAAAGATGATCACAGTTTTTACATCAGAACAATAGAATATCTGAGCCATGATAGTCCATTGTTCTCTGAGCTTCTTCTGACGAATATGCCAACAAATAATCTCTGTACGATACTTTGTTATAAATTTGTAATTTTATTGTTCTATGAGCTCTACTAATAATGCTAGTGTTGGATTGAGCCGAATTATTACAGTGTAGTACGTTTAATTTTCCCATCGCACATCTTATTCGGCCTGTTGAACTTATAAGAAGTTTTTCTTGTTACTGCTGCCTTTAAAAATGGAGGAGCGGCACTTTTCTTCATCGTAATCGGTCCCCTTGAATGCCTCAGTTGTCTCAATATATTGGTAGTAAATGTCTTAAACTCGTATCGTTTATAATAATTTGGTGTTTAGGCGAAGTCCTACGCTTGTAAGCTGTTTAAATTGGTCGTAAGCCCGTTTACCTTGTAAAAAGTTGAGGTTGCAGATAAGTCAGTATTTTTCACGCGCAATAGGTGAGAGATGCTAGGCGCGCTTTTCTGACTGGCAAAAACTAAAACTTCACAGCCACGATTGTCATAGAATACAAGCCTGACGCATGTCTGCTGCTCTTTTCCTGCGCTATTTAAACGTGTCGGTGTGGTGGTTGATGAAGTTTTGAACCACTATTGTGGATACAGACACAGTTGTTGTTTTTACCTCCGTTTTGTCCCGAATCGGAACAGACTGGTTCAAATTGCAACCACCTTGTTTCCTCCTCATCCATCCCATTCAGATGTGAATGTGGTCTTGCTCGTATTATGTACGACCAACTTTCCGCCTTGTGGTGAAAATCATAATACCAGTTTAAAATTGAAACTAGGTTGCGGGTACTTATGTGATGTAATAACTATCTCGCTTTCATTGCAAAGTCTTTTCTCTTCCAGCATATGCTTTATCTTCCACATGGAATGAGTACAAACTGCGATGTCGATAGAACTTGTCAACCTTTTTAGTCATGTTGTTCCAAACCATGGATGAATGGTTTGTTCATTGGTACCCTACACTCTGTTTTCCTACCTTATTAATTAATGAGATTTTGTTGACTATATACACAACTTTAGGTTGAACGATATGACGAAGTTCTGCATGCAGTTTGTCATTTTAATTTTACTGCGGTAAGAAACTGCTGATGTCGGTTGTTCCATCTCAGCACTTGTTTTCCTCTCCAGTACTTTGCTGAGGGTGAGATCAAATTAACGACATCTTGGAAATTCGGCCAAATAACGCCCTCAAAAAATGCAACCACCAAGTTATTTCGATTACCTTCTTTGGGAATTTTTATAGCTCAAAGCAGTTTTCCAATTTTAATGCCGAATTAATTTCTCACTGTTTCTAAATGGTTCTAAAGGTATCTGAGGTCATACTTAGGCAGCTGTCAATCGGCCTTTCAAATGGGGTGCATTCCGCACAGTGAAGGCATATTCTGACAATAGGCTTTTCAGTCCCTTAAAAGTCTTTTTTTTGGAGGGGCATCTGGAACACAAAGTAGAGATCTGAAAGTTAAGGAGAGCGCAGAGTTCGCATTTTCTTTACGGAAAATGTGTGACGGAAATGCCATTTAAACTTCCTGTTGTTGTACGTTATCTCTATTGTTACTGGCATTAATTTCTGTTCAGCGGATCTGTCGTATCTTCGGGACAGGTAGACCACATCAGGGTGGGTTGCTTTCAACCTACGCCCTCTGAAACGCAATGGCGTGATCTGGTTAGCAATATTCGGTTCATAAAAACGTGGCATTCCTAGGTAATATTTTTTTCATTAAAGTGTGTTTGAATCCCCTACATCTCCGCTTGGTTGTGCTCCATGTATAAAATGTCAGGAGTCAAGCAGATCATTTAGGGGAGACTTTGATTTTCGCGTGCGACATGTTATTTCATTTGGGATCAGACGCCGTCTTACTGTACTTTTTTCGTTTCCATGTATCCTTTCCCCAGCTTGGCACTAAAGATGCCTACTCTGACATTTGTTTCAGACATTTACAATCAATGAGATTTCTGGAAAAAATGATTTCATACCGCATATTATAGCATAGTCCTTTAATTGATCATGCCTTTTATGGGTTAGCGATCTGTGTGGGATGATGGCTACGACTGCACAGATTCAGGCGGTTTATGAAAACAATCTGCGTGTAAATTCAAACTCCACAAACGCTAGACCTAAGGCTATGTCTGTTTATGAAAGATCTTAACGTCTGGTTTGAAAGTAAAGTTTTGCGATATGATCCGAGCAGATGCGATCCAAAGTTTGAAAGCCCTTCATTTGGCATTTTTTGCTCAGAAAACCGCAACATTTTTTGGTAGTATATTTCACATTTGGAGGCTATTGTGACGTCTCTGTCTATACGTTCTCCCCTAAGCAAAGAGCTTTTTTTAACCTTTAACAACCCAGTTGTATACCTTCATTCACACATAAGTCTTGATGTATTTAAAAATGCTTTTGATGAAACCATAAACTGCACACATAGTATTTGCATTTTATGCTAATTTTCTGAGAATTCAGCACATTTGAAAGTGCACAGTTGGTAAATTGTCATAGCTTCTAATTACTTCTGTTAACTTGGTCTCCCACTGATTCCAGCAAAAGTGGAACTTGTTTTTATCTCGCTGTCAATGTGATTACAGATTTGCTGTTTCATTGCAACAGCTGACTTGCTGCAATAAGTTGGTAAACTCCCTTCTAGATGCAGTGACATATACATAATCGTCGCTTTTGAGTGGTTTAAAGCGCTTCACATCAAGGCGATGGATAGGGATTTTTTTGAAAAATTACTTAGACTTTTAATTAATTAAAAATCGGTACCAACCGAGAGCTAAAACACCTTCATCAATTGGAGTTCATATCCCTTTTTTAATATTCAAGCCTCGTCCTGGACTACTTGATGAGACACGGTTATCTTGCCACGGCTAGCTCCATGGTCAGACCGTCGCTAGTTTCGCCTCGGGCTATCACGGCCGCCACAGCTGCTGCCATCCCTGTTCCCCCATCTCCTAACCCCCCATCATTGGAGTCGGAGAATGGAAGCCTAGCTAAAGTCGACCCCGGTTCAAACTCAACTCTCCCATCGATTCAACCCGATGCTCCTCAGGTAGGTACCCCTCAAGAAACCCTGCCTTGTATTACAACCCTTTTAATCCCCCATTTGGATGGACGAGGTATGTTGCGTGAAATCCTCTCACGAATCCTAATCTTTACTTATGGCGTGTGAGCGCTATAGTCGTAAAACATGGCTAGCGAGGATGAGCTGCTTTACTTTCTGCCTCCAGCATTTCCTCCTCCTCCCTAACTAATTTAAACGGTGAAACGTAGGTACTTTTATGCGAAATTTCTGCAGGAAGTGATGCGGTGTGCTCTTCATTCAGACAAGAAAAACGGCTCTGCTATGTGACCTTGAGACGGAAAAATACAATAGGATATGATATTGTTAAAAGCCTTCTTATTATGGTCAGAAGAATCTTGAAAAAGGCATTGATGAATGTGTGTGTGCAAGTAAAGGCATTATAATTACCCATCCGTGTCTTTGCAAAACGTGATCATGTACCTCAACAAACTTTCCTCTTTCTACTATTAGGGTATTGTCAGTTATTTTTTAATCAACTCCGACAGCGTACACTTGTCGTACCACTTTCTTCTTTTTGGAACGTCTGTGCGTATATTGTGTTTTTTGTATTTCTCTCCGAAGCCTTTGTACAGATCATAAAATTTGTACTGTACTAGAAGTCTAAATCAAAGTATCAATGGTGAATTTGTTTGTTTTGAATGCAAGTAACTTTATTAGGATTTGAGTCCTCCCGCTTGAGTCATTAATGAGCTAAGCCTATGTCAACCTGATCTGGTCGTGTGCGAGCATGTACTTTCCCCAATGAAAGGTTGCCGATTGCCTTGTAAGCAGTTTTGGTAGTGATTAAATTAGCCTTCTGTCTTACTCAACTAGGTGATGCTTTGTTAATGATTTAGGCAGCTCCTACAAGGAAGGCTTATTAATGAGGACATCAGCATTGTTGTAGCCACTCACTTGTCATCGATGTAAAACGGTTTTCCTCAAATTGTTCCTCGTTGCCTTTCTCAAAGTGATTCTCACAGTCCTCCAATTCCACTACTTTTAGAAATGCGCGGATGGAAAATGACTGAATAGCTAGCGTTGTTCGCCTTGAGCTGGTTGCTCAAATCACGCTTTATCTTGTCAATATATGACCTCGGGACAGACGGATTTAAAATAGCTGTGTGCGTGATCAAATCCAAACATTGGTTGTCGTGTTGCGGGTTCCGAGTTCGGAATGTCAGATGCGTGGCTGCAGGATGGCCATTTGGGTCGGCTTTGTGGTCGCGCCCTATTTTTTGTCAGATGGGTCACGGAATCGTGCTTTCCGGTACTAAAAATAGACCACAGAGGTTCAGAGTTCGGTAGTCTATGCAATGGTTATTGAAGTAGCCAGGGGCAATAAAAAACAAGGAATAGTGTAAATCAGCACTGCAGATGTGGCTTAAATTGCACATACGGGTGTTTGTTGTCAGTCAAGGCGACTGCACACACGATTCTGTGAGGCGTTGATTTGCACCAGCCTTCAGGCGCACCCACGCACAGGCGCATGATGAAACCCGTTTTCCCATCTTGTGGATGCATTGAAAGCTGTGGATGTTTTATTTTCATTATTTTACGACAGGTGACGGCTTTTCGTCTTCGCATGCAAAAACGCCCGACTTCCCTTCGTCCGCACACACAGGCCGCTCATATTTGTCCGCATTGCGTATTTCCGAATAGAATTTTTACACGACTAGCGATTTGTCATTGGATATTCAGCAATTAAACAGATAGTTATATTGTACCAATGAATCAAAAGTATTTAAGTGGTCTTTGCATCGTGCTATGCAGTATTTACTGCTTGCACTTGTGGTGTGTAGTGATAGAAATACGCAGAATTAGGCGCGGTTACTTTCGAAGCAAAAAGGAACCACTTTTGAGTCAAGATTTCAGTCGTTGTGTCAATTTTAATTTCTAACTACTTACCCTACTCTCGAGACCAATATAGACTCCGACTTATGAAAGATTAAATCACTTGGAAGCAGAGCTTAATGACTGTGTTGGAGTTTTCAGTTGCCTGTTGCTCGGTTAAGATGTTTAGCTATTTACGAGAGCAGCTGTTTGTAGGAGCAATGATTTATAGTCAGCCGTTATACCACCTTGTTGATTGAAAAGTACATTGTGTATGTAAAAGTTCTAATATCTTTCTCCCTGGAATAATCACCAAACAAATTGTTTACATCGGATTGACCTTTTTCAGTCGCTTATTGTTTTTGTAAATGGTTTTAAATGACTCTTCCCTTGATAAAGTCACAAGTTCATTTTTTACTACATGATGGATCGCCAATCGCAAATTCATGTGCAGGTGTGTCAAAGGCCCATCAGCTTTCCCCCCTGCGATTTGCGAGGACGTTTTTTTTATTGAAACGTGTTCAAACATTTAACAATGAGAATGTACTGCCATCTGCAGTGACAGGTGTGCTTAAGCAGTTTACTCCTTCGCCATCACCTGCCTGCGTGTTTTCGCAGGAACGAAGTGGGGCACGGATGCATTGTCACTCTAAATCATATGTTTAAAAGGGCAACTTCTAAGTGCTTGAGTGTTCACTAATTGACAGGACCACGTTGAGTTTGACTCGGCATCTTCTTAAACTCTGGCGTATTGGGAGGATGGTTACTGTCATTATCTCTAATGCGCAAAGCAGTATTTTTCCTATAGTAATTATTTGCAATGGTGCTGACAAGTATGCTTGGATAGCACGGCGGCAGCTGCTGCAACCAACGTGATAGGAATATCTTCCTTTGCAGTTAGGGCACAGATACTGTCACGACCGCGTAAATAACATCACATGTACGATGGTCTGCGGCAGGATTGCTGTGGTTAGTAAGCCTGTGGGGACCACCTCATTAAGTGTAGTGCATACTTCTCAAACTAAGCTTGATATTTCCTGCTAGGGGTACACGAACCCGCTGATGGGCTTTTTATTGTTTAGGTGCGATATTTTAGGGTTCATCCTCCGATTTATTTGGAGTATGAGAAATTTATAACTGCCCATGAAAGCATACGTGGTGCAATTACTGACATTATCTGAATTTCTTATGTATTATATCAAAATAATGGTGAGCAAAATCCTAACTCTGCCTTAACAAGCTTGTATTTCCTTCTTCTAAATTTCATTTTCACTAAATGTTCAGCGACATTGAAAGGAGCCTCAAAAGCGAAGAAGTAGGGATGTGTCGCGTAGCACTGGTCCCTGTTGTCTGCTGTGGAAAACCGCAATGCTTATGCGGCTTCCCCTTTGTTCTTGGTAACTACATTTGGAGTAAATGTGTTTCGACGTTGAATTGGAGAGGCAGTGAGGCAAGTCCTGAGCTAGCGTTTCCTTAATTGATGTCTCCATACTCCCCACCCCTGTCGGTGTTGCATGGTACACGACAATAATTAAAGCGCAATATGGCTTGTAAATTAGCATTTGTCTTACCATGATTTCGAATGTCCTGACCGGATGTTTCAATTTCCTCCTCCAACCTTTTCATTGCGCATGGGTAATGTGATAAACGACTTGTGTTTCTGCATAGGACGCTAGTAGATAGTTTCACTTATACCATCTTGTTAATCAAAAGCTGAAAAGTTCTTAATTTGCATCTTATAAGATACAATCACTGTCTCCAGCATAACTGGCTGCATTCACCTCCTTTCGTTACCCAAATCTTATAATTGTTTCGTGCGTTTCACAAAAACTGACTTCCTAGGCATCGTAAAAGGCCAGATCGCCTAGAGTTTATGTTGAGAATCTCAAATGTCGAATGACCTTTTATTGGAGTCGTTAAATCACTTTCCAAAGGGGAAGTAAGCCAATTGTATGTGGTGACTTTGTGAAATCAACACGTTTATACGGATGGACTTTTTGTGGTAGTCGGGAGCCTCTGCCGTAAGGCACTTTCCATCAACAGGATATTTTCAGTTTCGCTAGTTACTTTTTACTATTCCTAAGTGGCGGATGACGCCCGCCAATTCTCCTCTACCAGCCTTGTTGTTATTGGATCGAGACAAATTTAGTTTAAAGCACTTTTACTTTCTGCCGACTGAGTGCATCCAGGTGGTATTTGGGCATTTTTGTCAGCAGCAAGATGTAATGGCTGCATAATTACTTTTATTATCGTCATAAAAATGTCATTCACACTTCATTACTTTTTCTCCTTTTGGATGGATTTCATGCATACAAACAGCACATACGAAGCATAATTAAATAAGACGGAGTCGTAACGAGTGAATTTCATTATAAATGTCGTGGTATAGAAGTGTGCGTTGCTGCCGGCGTCTTATAGATGAAACCGGATTGGGGAAATCGGCATTGAGCACCAAAATTTACTGCTGTCTGATGCTTTTACGAAGATGTGCGCATTTCTACCTTTTTGCTCCCAACATTAATCTCATAATTATCATTATTCCCGATTCCGTTACCATGGTCACATAATTTATTAGTACCTGACACATTGGTTGGCGCGCATTCCTGTGTCTCCCATGTACTGATTATTCAGAAACAGTTAACCATCACCATACATAAATACTACTTCTAATTTTTGCGTAATTTCAATTATTTACCTTATTATTTAAAATAGTTTCTTTATGACTTCTAACTTGCCCACTTTACTGCGCTTTCTCCTTAAAACAATTGCAGATTTACCACCACTTACTTATTTTTTTAATGAAACTGTCATTGCATAGTAATGTATGCGTAAATTGCGACCAGTCTTTGGATTTTCCCATTTTGACGTAGCAAGATTCACTTGAATTTAGAATTCCTTGGTTTTGTGCTTTTATTGTGGTCCTGACAGCACTTAGAACTCGTAAGCATGGCCAGCACTGATACATGACATCTGACTCGACTGCTTTTGTTTTAAATTGAGCACACACAAACCACATGAACTGTCGGGCAATAATGACAATTAATATCCCATTGTAATTACGAGTCGCATTAAGATTTACTGGTTTGTGATAAGTTTATTCGAATTCAGCTTTATTTCCACTTATCCAGTGTTTTTGGTGGAAGCATTCGAGCGACTGTCTTAGATGGAATTAACGGTGTATTGCTTGGCTTGACTTTTGCCACGGTAACACATGGCTGTGTTTCTAATCCAAGTTATCTCTGGAGTGCTAAGACTATTTTTTGTCAAGCTTTCCCTGTCTTAAAGAAACAAATGTCACCTTGTACAAGTATAGCATCCCATTGCTTTATTTTACTAGTTTTAGAAGCCATTTTACCCGATGATACTTGTCCCGGCTGTATTCCCATCTTTCTGATGCGCACACTCCATGTACGTTTGAACAGACTCCACCTTCGTCCTGATTTTGGTAATACGTTATTCTCCTCACCAAAAGAAATCATAGGAAAGCACTCACTTGTGTTTTTAACTATTTGTGTAGCTTATAAAAGGGCTAACGACTTCGCCATGTAACAAATCGTGTGGGTATTGCATCGTAGCTCGCGATGACTTTCCAAAGAAATCCGACTCGGTTTTTTTCTGTGTCAATAGAGGAAATTTACCTAGCCAAAAATTGCACATTGGTTGAGTTTACAGCATGCCTCAATAATTTAATCGGTTTGAAAAGCCGTGTTATCCCACTCCTCCTTGCTATTTCATTCAGTCAGGTATAAGGAATTCTTTGGACAAAGGAATTGAGAAAACACGCCACCTACCTATTTCTCCCTGTTAACTTTCGACCCTAATTCTTGATTGTCCTTCATACCACACATCCACTGCATTGCTGCTCTCTAATCTTGTCTCTGACTGAAGCTCTCGCACTGGTGTATGCATTAGATTCTTTTTATCTAGCGAAATGCGCAAAGTAAGAAAGAACGGGCAGACGCTGGCATCACATGAGTAAATTGTTTGTGCGAAATTCCCCTTACTTAGACTGCACATGGTGAGTAGTCATAACTGCACTTTAAAATGCTGCAAGCTTGCTTGCGGATGCCCGCTAATTAGGTTTCCCATTCCCTCTCTGTCTCTCTCTCTCTCTCTCTCCCTATTCAGTACTCCCTAAGCCCCAAACTCAAACTTTGGGCTAAAAAGTGGAGTCTAAAGGAACTTTTCAAGAGCCCATCCTCGACTCCATTGCGTCACGGGAAGGTGGTAAGTTCCAATTCGTATCAAGCGTCCATTTCCTTCCCCTCTCCCACTTCCCGCCCTTTCTCCTGGTCTGCCAACCTAACCTGCAGCGCACCACCGCCATCACTACTGTTCCACCCTCCTCTACCCCGTCACCTCCGTAATCCTTTTCCCTACTCCCCTCTCTCCCTCCCTCTCACATTTGCGTATCTCTATAACTCTGATCGGAGTTTTAATTTTTGGTGCTAGGTTTTCTGTAGCTGCTGCACTGTCTAAATTATTTAAAAACCTTCTCCCCATAACATTTAGCAGAAAGAATTGAATATCCGGTTTTGTTGATACTTCCCTCTTTTTCATTCACTTTTGGATGCACATAAATTATCTTAGCATCCACTCACAAGACCTGTCTTTCTGGGTGTTTTAATACGCATCCATTAATATTACTTACAAAATCCGTCATGGTTCTTCTAAATTTTTGAAATAAATATTTTATGCGTTTTCAACTCGAGTATTTTCACCTTTTTACGAGCATCAGGTCTCTATAACACGTTTTCAGAACTTAACAAGTTTTTGAAAGGTCTGTTATGCGGTTGTATTGAACTAACCGTTTTGCCTTTTCATTCTCCTTCATAGGCGGTGTGGAGGGAATGAATAAGGTTACCTGTTTTTTTTTTTTTATTCCTTACTATATAGATCACATTCACTGGGCGTCTTTTTTAGTAATCATAAAGAGATGTGGACGCCTATTATGTGTGAACTTTGTTTGTCTCGTAGTCATTCACTTCAAATCTACATTCTCTGCACAAACTCATATTTTCTTTGGCCCTACCCGATTAAATAGTTATCTGCTTTCTGAGCGCTGCCCTCTCAATTAAACCAACCACATAGGCTTCATGGTAAGATAGTTTAAAACCACCAAATTTTTGAGATTGAAGAAAGCACCACACTTGTGTAATACCTGGGAATCACATTTTTGTTTCAACAGAAGTTCCTCAAAACGCCTCACATCATTTTCGTCACTAAATTTAGGAAGTTTGTTCCCACACAGCTCCAATTGATGGGTTAAACGCCACTTCTCCACTCACAGATTGTAAGCTGGGCAGTTTACTGATGCTATTTTATGGGTATCTACTGAATTTCGAATCGACACCACTCCACCATATCTGTTTCATTTACATTTTTGACTTAAGAAACGAGAGTTGCTGGAATCGTCAATGACGGAGACAGGAGTTACGCCGACTACTGAGACCGTATCGTTATCCTTACTTTCCAACGAGGTTCCAAAGTCTGCACCCCCCAGGGAGGGGTGGGAGTGTGGCGGCGGTGAGAAGTGGCCTGAAACGCCGGAGGCGGCGAATCGGCGGATCCGATTGGCCGAGTTGATTTCTCAAGGCCAATACCTGCAGGCGATTTCTCAATTGGCTCATGACTATACCAGCCTCGTGGAGACAATGCCTTCGATTATTTTCATGCTACGATGTCGTTACTTCATCGAATTGGTGCGTAGACTCGCTTGAAACGTCCATTTTATTCCACTTTTCAGATCCACTTATGCGTATGGTTATCCAACTCTTATCACACTTGCAAGGTCGTGTGTCATGGTTACTTGTACCATAATTGTGCGAGCTCACGCACACGTCACATCTGTCAACTGAATTACTGAAATAGCGGGTCTTGTGTGCTAGCTGACTCATGTGAGTTTTGAATCGCTTCCCATGTTACCTCCCTTCAGCTGATTTAGCACCGACATCTGATGGATTAATTTAGCACGGCCACTCAGACTGCCTATATTCGTTTCGGCCTTGCTTCAAGGTCAAATGCCTGATTGGGTGAAGCATTTCTCATGCCGGTTTAAACAGCTGACTGCCATCTGATTGGCGCGCGAGCACCCGCTCGGTGTTTCGGCTACGGGTGACGTCAAAGTTCTCTTTCCCACAGTCCTGCTGCCACTCATAAACTGCCTCACCTCTCTCTCTCTCTCTCAATACCTGAAGCTATGTGGACTTTTTCGACTAATTTATCATGAATTCGCGCTGCATTTGCTGGTTACCGGTGCACGCTTTTGGAAAAAGCGAACAACATTTTTTTCTTCAATAATAATCCATTATTCACTTTAAGGATTGCTGTTTGGCGATATTTATTCCTTATTAATCTTTTAGTACTTGTTTGAATTTGATATCATCGGGAGGATATCGGTATCTAGTTAGGGATATAGCGGTTACTAGCTCAGTTTGTTTTAATAGTTTGAGAAATCGTTGAAAATGCATTGCATAACTAATGATTTTAAAACATGGCACTTCAAAGATTACGATAAAAGATCTTGATGCATTTGTATTCCTCCCCAAACCTATTCCACAGAAATGTTTAAATAACCCCTAATGCTTTCATAAATAGAGCTATCTTTAAAAAGAGGATCTAATGAAATTTCTTTAACGTGTACATTATCAAAGGTTGCTTTCTACTCTGCTATTCGCGGTGGACTGAAGCACAACTAGCACCCCCGCATCTTGGGAATATGAACTTGTCTATCTGGTTGGTCAGTTTTCAGTAAAATTGCTAAGCAAATTTGCATACACATGCGTCTTATATTCCACTGCACAGAAGAGGTGTTAATGAGGCTGGGGTCGGTGACGCGTGTGTCCTTGTGTGAAGTGAATGGAGGAAGGATGTTAAGTTCCATAACTAATTCTTTTTCTGAATGTCAATGCACAGTGACACATCAGTAATCAAATTACGTAAACCCCAGTGATTCCCTCGTTCATATCGTGCGATTCGCCCTGTACTGATTTTTCGAGTTGGTTTCGACCATCGACGCGTCTTCAGTCACACAAACACCTTCATTTAACTCTAGCTATTGACTTCGGTGATAAGAGATAATTGGAAAACATTTTGGAGGTAATTACCGTATTCTCTATCCCCCATCCACGAGGTGTCCGGCACCTCCCGCCTGAATCCTATGAATGCTATGTATGGATCTTTTTGTAAACGAAAATTTACCGCTAAGCCGCATCATTTATGCGTTTGCATCACATTTTACAGTTGCGGGTCAATTTTGCTGCAGAAAATGTTGCTTGATATCTTTAATTCAATGGTATTTCGAAAAATCATTCTTGAAAATAGTCGACCTTATTTCTCATCGCTTTTTCATTTTCAGTCAAGCAGGGAATTTCTAACTGCCCAGATGTTAACCCACGATTAACAAAGGGATTCTGTAAATACTTTTTTGTTAACGAGGACAAACGAATATCAATTATCAAATTCAGAAGTAAACACATGTGCACACGTATAGTGGTATGTCTTGGTAGCTCTACATGCTGAACTGCGTCTTACACCCTCAGTATTATTGTCTTCCCGGGATTCCCACTCTTTCGGCGAAAGCGATTTCGTTCACATATTGCAATATCATTATGCCCCTCTTTGCCGGCATCATTGAACCAAATTGTGCCGCCAATTCGCACGCTCACATATAGTTTCGTCTTCAATTTCTCTCACGTACTACTATGCTTGGCTTGGGTTATGGTTGTGAGTGTCAAGTGATTGTTGCATCTCCCCTATCCGATTGGTAGAACATTGTACTAATTAATAATAAGTAAAAGTATTTATTCCTTAGCTATTTACGAATCAACGTCCGTCTGAAGATGTTGCCCGGAAGAAGACGGCAACGGCGCCAACGGTCACGCCGACGAAAGCGACATCCGCACCTCCTAATTCAGACTGCAAGAATGGGGGGAAGATGGGTGTAGGCACCACCTTCAAGCGTCCTCAGCCATCCAGCTCACCGGAGTGTTCGCCCTGTGGCGGTGGGAGCTGCTTTCGGCAGTCCGCTGCTGTTCGCAGGAAATGCGAGGAAACCAATGGGAGCACGAATGGTATTGTTGCAGAAGATGAGAATGATGAGGATCTTCTCATTGAGTGTATCCGTCAAGAGAACGGTGGTGTGGCAGTTCTGCAGGCACCACGATGTGTTCAGGTGAAGCATCGTTTTTACATTGGTCGGTGTCACTTCGTGCGTTAGAGAGTCTACACTTAGTGCAGCCGTATTTTGGGTTGCTATACTTCTGTTGTAGGTAATAAGCTGTTTATCAGGAACTAAAATCCATCTCCTAAAATGCGACTTTATGTCCATTGATCTCGGTATTTGCAATCCGTTAATTAACTAATCTATGGAGCCGTGGTTAATATTGTCGGGCCTATTTTAAAATAGCCTGCCATGATAATTTCATGAAATTATAAGGCCGAAATTGTTGGAATTTTGACGCAAACTTTAGTCCAACAAATCCATCCTGCCCATTCATTCAATACCATCTCAACTGTATCCTATCGTTAAGCTTTTTTACTATGAGAACTATGTTTCTTGTCTCTTATCTAACATGGTGTTTTAAGACTCGGTCTCAACTCATTTTTTGCCAGAACGGTATCTCCATATTGACAAAGGAGAAAAAAAAAGCTACCAGAAGTCTTTTCAAGTGCTCCTCGTTAAATTCGGTCGAGAAACCACCAGAAGTCCCTATTCAGAATGGAATTACTCATAAAAGTACCCACGACTCCGACACCCCACCCGAACTTTCTTCCCATCCCATCCCGATTGGCGAAACGATGCCGATACAGGAGAGCCCCGTTGTCTTTCTGGACCTCAACAGCATTGTGCAGTTGGGTCGAGAGCTTCGAGACAAGGCAAAAGAGCTGCAGGCAAAGAATGCTCTCTCTCCAGCCCAGGCCGCCTTACTTCAGGTCGGTTTGGAAAGAATCTATCAAAAATATGGAACTTACAAAGTAGACAATCGTTTGTTTTCATAACTATAGGACGCCTTCAGCTTGATCGCCTACGAAAATCCCTACGAGAGCCCATTTGCCGATTTGATGCATCCAAGACACAGAAAAATCCTCGCAGAATCCGTAAGCAATGCTATTTTAGGTGAGCCAATCTTGTCGATCTTAAAAATATGTCCTATTCCCATCACGAGCATATATATACAACTTCGTATTTTTGAGATAGTACACAAGGAACATCGACGAAATTTTTTAATTATATAGGGGCATAGGAGAAAGCAACAAACTAAAAGGTTTCTTAAATTTACAGTAAATTTGGGTAAGGCGCGGTACCCCCTCCTGGAGATAGGAATCGGTATGTTGGAGGAGACGGTACTGAACGGTCAAGGGGGTAATCGGCTATCCCTCAGCTTGGCTGATGCAAAACCCCTTCGAAAGCAGCACAACCAGGCAAGCACCTCGTCTGCGGGGAGCACACTCACCCCGTCACACACGGTTTCCACCTCCGTCAACCTTCCGTCAACGGTAGGCATCTACGCTACCGCCACCACTGCCTCCTCTCCCTCGCCCCGAACGGGTGGAAGTGGTGGCAGCGGTGGGCTGCAGCAGTACCACCGAGGCCATCGACGGCACCATCACCACCATCACCGTTCTGCCACCTCTTCCCTCGTTGTTACCTCCACTACTACTACCACCTCTGCCACGGCGTCGCGTGCGCTTAATCCACTGTCCTTCCTCGCCAATCTCCCTCCACCCACTGTCGCCCTTCGTCAGCGCTCCTCCTCGTCAGCTGGTCGCCGATTGCGCAACACAATCGTACAGAGCTCGCCCCGCGACACTGGCGAGGAAGGGCTGCAGGAGATTGTCGTCAGCGGCGGTGGCGGAGTAGAGTGGAGAGAGGAAGCAGCGGAGCGAGAAGACGAGGCGGAGACGGCGGCAGTGGCGACGACGACGGAGGTCGAGGAAGTTCAGCTAGTGTTCCAGGAGGGCGGAAGAGTTCGCGTGGATCGATATGCATCTTCTCCGCCACTACCGCCACTGCAAAGCGTAGATATACGCGTCGGAGGCTCTGAGATGGCGGGCTTCTTTCATCCGGCATTATTCGTTCCCCCGTCCCCTCCATCCTGAAGTACTATCACCACTAACACGGCTGTCACTACCACCTCTGTTGCCGCCGCCGCTCCACCACCCCCTCCCCAACCCTTATTGTTATTTTACTGTTCTTATGCCCTACACGCATCACACCGCCCAGTTTGTCCCCTCCTTCAAATTACCCAGTTTGCCTCTGAGCATCCACACACACAGTTCCTATTATTATTTTCATTAAAGTAACACAAGTTAGCTGTGATCCAACTCATTATGCATTGCAAAGCCGGAAGTTTCAAGCCAAATATTTATGCAATTTGGAGAATGCAACAACTACGTGCGTGAGTGCGAGGTACTTAGCGAACCCAGATCGTAGCAGCTATATTCCCAGCGGTACTGTGTAGGAATACTACATTATGGGAGCTTCACATTTATTATTAATTGCGATGGATGTCTGTGCACGGAAGGAATTATTTCACGTTAGACTGGACTATCTCTCGAAGTCTATCGCATAGAGTACACTTGACCAAGTTAGAGAACAGGTTGGTTTCACCATCTACAACGAGTTCGGAAAGGATGTGGCGTCTGTACTCGTCCTCATTATCAAATTCCATCTCAGGAGGCTCTGAGCGAAGGCGGACAAACCTTTCGTAAAGGGATTGCGGAATAACGCATTGCTTGAGTAGAAGGCTATCGCGGGTGGTGAAAGGCCCGTGTCGAACTCGTCGTGCACTCGATAGCACACAACTAGAGCGCAATAAAGCTCCAATATTGACCATTAGGTCGGTTAGGAATTCGTCTGTTTCGTAAACCACCTGGATTTCTGCAAGGAAACGAAACGGGGTTACGCTATGGTGTGGTGTGGTGGATGACGTGTAAAGCTCAGTCATACCCAGGGTGAAGAAGGGAGGTTCAAAATTAATACAACGAATCGCACGGAGAGAAGGCGGAAATTGGCGCAGCGAGCTCGGATCTGGACTAGCTCGAAGGGAATGCGGCTGCGTAGGCTCTGGTCTCCTGTCCCAGTAAGAGGTTACGTGATCAGAAGGGAGAGACTCGCAGGGCTCAACCAGCGGCTTCAGAACCATGGTAGTACGGTCAAGGTTGCTGAGAGCCTCGTAGGCCCTTTGTGTATTTGCCACAAGTCCGGCTTGCAAAAGCGAAGCCGATCGGGCCTTGAATTCGATTGAGGCGAGAACGCGATCCAACTTTGGGCGCGTTATGTGACCTAAACTTCGATGGCAGCATCATCGGCAACTTAGAAAACAGTTCTAATGTTGAAATGTGAGGAATGAAAAAATCATAAATAACCATGGTGCGGTTAAAAACATAAGTGTTAGAGAATAATACACCAAGAAGAGTCAGAGAAGCCCCCCTCAAAATCGATAGCAATCTCATAGAATAAAACATAGTTACTCACGCCAAGGCGACCGGTATAGCATAGGACCCGTAGACAAACCATTTGAAGAAGCCTGACCCAGCATTCCAGTAAGATGGTAAGATTTCGGGAAACATTGTTTGTATAATACATCTGCAAGATCATATGCACCAAATTCCCCTACCCCAATCAATTGGATACCTGACCCATAATCAGGTAATGGATCAATAAGGTTAAGAACAATATCGCCATGGACAAAACGTCTACCGACAACTACAAAAGTTTAAGGTCATATGCTAGAACAACCCGCACCCAGAGGATTGTCCAGAAAATCAAGCTCTGTTGAAATCGAAGGGGGTGAGGCAATGTTATTTTTTACTACGACATTTGTACGGAGCCGAACCGCCTCCCAAGGGAGCCTGTTAAATTCTTAGACGAGTAATGGGGAAACCGATCAAACCATTGGCAATTTTCTGTGCTACCCGTCTCTGAAATTTCAATACGTCCTGCCCAGCGGGCTTGTATAGAGAAAATATCCCTTGTAAACAGCGAAACAGTTCAACTCTTCTCACCATTCACACAGCCATACAGCAAAACAGCGAAACACCTAGTTGCTTTCAGGTGTAGCGCTTAGCTTTGTAAGGAATCAAACAAAGAAAGTTAAAAAGCATGCTTTCTACTGATAATCTGTAAAAATATATGAAAAACGCCACCAATCCTCAGTTTCATAACAAGTACACAAAAGTGGCACCAAAGGCGATTTTGCTTAATAAGTGAAACACAAAATGACGCAACATACCAAAATATGTAAATATCCCCTCAAACCTTGTGCAAAACTCACTTGACGATTGCTGCTGATTGCCTTCATGATACTAATGGGTGGTTTTTTAATTCCTGAAACGCTTTATCCTGTAAGAGATTCTGAAGTAGTGGTAAGCGAACATATTACTGGCGGACCAGTATGGTGGTTTGGTAGGTTGTTGAATTCCGCTAGCAATCCGGCTTCTACAAGTTACCGGTAGGGTCTCTACCATTCTGGACGTTCGTAACATATGTCCACCTATAGTATTTTAGTTCATTACAATTTTAAGGAAGCCTACGGAAGCCACACAAATGTGCCAAACTCATGGAAATACTACAGCACTATTTGTAACACGACCCTCATTTATCACCTCTCCCCTGGCCTTCATACCCTTAGAACAAAAAGGTTGCTTGAAGTAGGGCATACTTACTGATTTGGATTCTATGAGAATAGATTCAGGCTTGGAGAGATTGGGACACTGAGTTAATGGAGGGTTTGGGGCATCCTGACCAGGAATGATTCACGAGGTTCTAGTCGACCTACCGCTTCTTCTCTATAAGCATCACTTGAGTAACACAAGTATTGCTTAGCTTCCTCGATCTTTTAGCCTCGTCTCCAGTACTCCCACTTATAAGTTGACTTCAAATTTTTCATCAGGGGTTTTTGTTCTCCCTTTAGTGCATAAACCTCTTCTTCGTATTTCATTTGTGACGTACTTTTGCAGAGAATCATCCTTTCGTGGTGAATGGTTACTGGCAGGGTACAGAGTTGTGTCTTGGAGGAGGTATTTTTGTAGGCGAGAGCAATTTTACCACTCAGAATGGATCTTCGCTCCAAAGGTAATGAAACTTGCAATATCATTCAGGTGGAGAAACCTATCTGTGTATTTGTACTACGTCTCCTTCTCGATGGACGTTATCCGGACTGTGTCTGGCTCAATAACACTTACCCCTGCTACAAGACAGTTGTAAGTGTTTACGTGTGACATTAAAAGCTTTCCTTATGCCTTCTTTCAGACGCAGTATGTACTGTGGAACATTATTGGTTGCTACTTCTGCGTTTGACAGGAAGATGTCGGAAGGCACTCTCATTTTACCATCCGTGAGCATTTTGAATGGTGATACGTCAGTTGACGCATAGACTGTAGCTCGAAAGCTAGAAGGACATGTCTTGGGCCAACTGGTTGTGAATCTTTCGTGGTGGCCTTCAGCAGTCTGATTAGGATGCTATTCGTTCTTCCCGCCTGCCCTCTCGAGTTTTGACTATTCCTACACACAAGACTGACAGCCTTGCTCGAGGAGACTGTCTCTTCCTCTAAATGGGGTGCATCGAGACTTCCTTGAAGACGAGTGAAACCATACTACTTGGACAAAATATGCATATTCGACATGGCCCGAAGGCCAACCCACTCGCCGAAAGCACAATGTCGAAGTAGCCCATTTAATATTACCGAGAGCTAAACAATCAGCACATTAAAATGGGATGCATCCATCTAGGGAAGTCGCTTTATCATAATGCGGGGGAAAGCCGGAGGTCAGCTCTTCTGAGATGGTAGTTTAAGCTGTGTAGATTGGAGATGCTATTTGGTCGAATGTGTATAAAGCAGATAGCCAGGCTTCACACAAAACCTTTACTTAGGAATCTTAAATGCTGACTAAAATATTTCAAAATCCTAACGTTATATAAGCTTAGATTATGCAATTACAATCAAATTGGGAAATTCATTGGCAAAATTTTATGACTCTTTCAAATAGCTTTGCTCACGGTAATTGGAATTTCTGTGTGTTACATCTCTAGTTGAAAATGTTAAACTTGCGTAACTCCAAGTGGCTCACCTGAATGCCATTACAAAGGAATTTTGCCGTTCATAGAAATTGGTTAGTGAAATTAGGAATTGAAGGCACTTTGTGTAAAAGACTGAAACTTTGGATTACATGTGATTAAAAAAAATAACATTCGATTTCACGCCGAAATTATCGGACCACGCAACTAATTTGAGAAGCGAATTCTGGTTTAAAACCGTGCTAGATTTATTCAAAGTCACACCATAATATTCATTGTGTCCTTAATTCAAATAACATTTGTCGATTCCATACATTAATACGTGACCATCTGTATGGCTGATGCAATTATCATGAACAAGGAAGACTCGAATTGGGTTGTTTATTGTGCCAGGCTTGCAACTGGGACGTTGGCTTCATCTAAGGATGGTGTTCTTCCAAGTAAGCAAACTAGTGGTTTTAATCCGAAGTGGATTTACAAATTTGGGCCCAATCTCTCATTGCTGCTGCATAATCAGATGCCTTAAAATGCAATTAACAGAACTTATTTGTGATTTCAAATCTGAAAGTTTTTGAAGTCGCAATCCGTTGTTGTCAGCAAGAATACTGATGCTTAAATGGTCAAAAAAGCATTTTCCACTATTTATAGGACCGGATTATATTTGAAATATTGTTTGATTTATTGATTTCTACGATGCTTTCCAAGAACGAGTCGGTGTTTAAATTTGGAATTAGCCAAAACTGAGTCACGTTGGCTGCTCAATCAAATCAATTTAGCTTTTGCGTCTTACACTTTAAACTATTTGTAAAATGAGTAGAACGTATCCTACAAAAACTCACAAAGGGCGTTACATTGAAAGGGTAATGAGGATTCGAGAAAAAGAACTTCTTGCCACGAAAACCTTGGCAGAGACATACATGGAAGACAAAGCACGAGTATTCGAACTTTTGCGAAAATTCAAGGATTGGTTTTCCTCGCACGGCGAGATGCTTCAATGCACGATAATGCAACTGGAAAAAAGTTTCGAACGCGAATACGTATTCGATATACTAAACAGTTGTGGGTCACCACTGGGTGACGTCGAGCATTACGTCCTTTATGAGATCATCACACACTATGGTGATAGAACTTTCTCATTCACCAATATCTTAGATTTAATGGAAAGCATAAAATACGGTCGAGTTCAAACCGTTGATCTGAACATTGGTCTCATAGAATCTAATTCTGTCGCTGTCTTTATCTCTGCTATAAACGGATCTATTCCATACAATCCGCTAAATATGCATTTGATGATGGACAATGAAACAACAGTCCGACAGCTTATTCGGTACGTAAAATCTGAATTCAATTGGCCCTCAAGAGAAATTCAGATCTATCAAGCAGCTGATTGTGATCAGGCGCTGGAGGAGAATGTGAAGCTGAAAGACCTCAAAGTAGAGAAAAATGAGGAAATATCAGAAGGTATTGAGTTATTTGTGGACTATTCGATGGGTTATATCGATAATCCCTTAATTTTAAGCGACCATTATTTCGAAGACAGGACTGTAGACAAAGCACTCGAGGGTTCATAATTTACAAGAGTCTACCCCTAAGTATGAGTGTTAGCATAAGCAAAAGCGCCGATTTTAAGAAGACCGCACCTGAAGAGCCTTTATTTATAAAATATATAACTATCTCAGCTCAAACATTCTTTTCAAACTGCAACATCACTTTATTTTTTTCGCTAGCTCGTAGATCAGAAATACAAGATGGGTACTATTATGCAGCATTCGAATCATTCTCTAAAGTCAGTAAATGTCAAAGAGCATCGAAGAATACAAAGTACAGATGTAGAGAAGTTTCAAAGATCCACTGGCATAGTTCGAATGTCCTCCCACGCAGACTAAAGTGCACGAGTGTTGTGCCAAATCACCATATAAATCTAGGCAGTGGAGAGTGTAGCAGCAAAAGAGGAGCAGATATTAAAAAATAATTGTGGTATTTATACCAGAGTAAATCTTACTAATTTTGTGGTAGTGTTTGCCAGCATAAGCTGAGACGATACGTATTTGCAAGGGAAAATTCCCGTAAAATACCGCATAAGTGAATGTAACAGAGCCCTGAGAGCTAATGCGATGGAAAATAAAGCACTCGTCTTGGGAATTTATCAAACAGAAAGTAGCAAGGTGTACCAGTTCGGCCAGTAAGTTAATTCGATCTGAGTTCTACTATTGCACCTTTATTTGCATCTATTAGGAGCAAAACTGCTCGGCTAATAGCTTTTTTTTATACAACTTAGAAGGTTTAATACAAAAAATTTTTCAAAGGGGACAATTTTATTTATGATTTTTTTAAAAAGTATTCCGACAGATTGTTTTGGAAGGCGGGGTTTTCGACTGCTTCACGTGAGGTAAGATTCTAGTCAGTTGCTGCTGCTGGAATGCGCCGCCAAAAGAAGGTACGTTAATTCTATATTTGTAAATAGAGGGTTTTAGAATGAAAAGGGAACGGTTGCAGCGTACCTAAGCCAGAAACAGGCGATGCGGAAACTGCAACTAGGTTTATCCAACTTTCGGTATGCATATATATAAAGTTTATGTCTTGTAGGCGTATATGCATCCTGAAAGGTATCTATCCAGTTGAACCGAAAAATAAAAAGAAGGCTGGTCTCGGGAACTCGCAGCCAAAGATATATTTTCACTCCAAAGATATCGCATTTCTTGCAAGGGAACCTTTAATAGAGACCTTTCGAAAGTTGCGTGTGCATCAGAAACGCTTAAGGAGGGCGCGTGAAAAACTTGATAAAGATAAGGAGTATCGGCTAAGGATGAACAAACCAACCTACACCCTGCATCATTTGGTTCGGGAACGATATCCCACGCGCAGTGATGCTCTTCGGGACTTAACCGACAGTCTTAACCTTGTCTTCCTGTTTGCGAGATTGCCGCGCTTGACACAATTTCATCCCGCCCTAATTTCATTGTGTCGCAGGTTTTCTGTGGAGTTTTTGCACTACGTCATCGCTGTACGATGTATTCGAAAAGTATGTTCAGTCTAGTAATTCGTATATCCTTTCTTCAGGCTTTCATTACTATCAAGGGTTTTTTTCTGGAAGCCGTAATTGATGAGATTCCAGTAGTATGGGTGATTCCACATCAGGCCGCCACGCATACGCCAACAGATGTAGATTATCGTCTTTTGGCAACATGTGTTGAGTTTGATGTTACGTTGCTTGGATCTTTGCTATGCAAGTACGCGGAATTTCTCTGCCTTAATTAAGAGTAGTCTTTATAAGCAGGCTGGTCTCTTATATCCTCCAGAATTTAACACCCCAAATATCAATGCTCCGTCTTCCTCATACTGTACGCCTGAAAATATGCATTTCGAGGTAGTTTACAATATGGAAATCTTAATTGCTTTAGTTTCTTGCCTCTTTTTCGTTCCCAATAAAGGGATCTGAGAAAAATAGCGCTGATTCTGTTCAATTGGATGATTTAATGGAACTTCAAGTAAGTGATCTTGCTGATAGCTCAAATTTTGTGCTTTTCTGACGTTTGAAACGTTTTAATTATCCACATTCCTTTCTATTCCAAGTAACGCATTGGCGTTGATAATTTTACGTCCCTTTTACCGGTTTTAGGCAATTGACGACTCTGTCACAGCAGCAGTTAACAAACAAATCCAGGCTCAGAGAATCCAACACATTTTTGACGGCAAACACTTCTTCTTTAACCGCGAGGTACCCAAAGAGGTTCTTACAGTAATTATTCGGTCGTGTGGTGGTGATTGCAGCTGGGATGCCACCTCCGGTCTGGGCGCAACCTACACTGAGGACGATGGTCGCATTGATTATCAAATTGTGGACAGACCAATGAAAGAGATGAAATCAAATCGGCGAGTCATCTAGCCGGCTTTTATTGAACTTGTTTAAACACTCTTTTGTCTTGACTGGAATATTTCAGATTCATTGCCAATGCCTATGTGATGTCCATCATGATGTTTTGCTAGGTTCCGTGTAATAGCGCTGGATGTCGTTGAAATCCAAATCCAATCTGTAGTTACTTCATGGTGTCATTCCTTGTTTTTTGATGGGCATGTGCTGTAAAAACGACTCCTAAGTTAGTCCATTGTGTTTAAAAGAGTTCTTTGCCTTTATTATCGGAGAATGAATTTCATGAATACGACATTTCTCCTTTCTTATCAAATGACCTCTCAAAGTCTCAAGTCTGGCTAAAGCATTGTTTGTCACTCTGCTACAGGGCCTATATTCAGCCCCAGTGGGTATTTGATAGTTTGAACGCAGGTCGTCTTTTGCCGACCCAGGACTACCTGCCATCGGTATCTCTCCCTCCGCACCTCTCACCGTTCGCCACCGCATTGACTGCAGACCCGCGGACAGCCATGGCGGAAGCGCTGAAACAGGCAGCTGCGGTGAGTGCCGCTCCTGGCTTTGGTGCCGGCTCCGCGCTCTATCGACCTCCCGAAGTGGACTACCTCGCTGGTCTTGTCTCCCTCGCAGAAGTGCGTGGCGCTGCTGTCGCTGCTGCTCAGACCGACGAAACCTCTGGCAACCAGCAAAAGGAGGGAGGGGAAGAGGGGCATTTGGAAGTTGGGGGGGAGGAAAAGAAAGGTTCAAAGAAGAACAAAACGAACAAGCACAATGTCATCAGGGCTCTGAAGAAAGGTGCGTGGAGCAATTTGCGGTATTTATGTGGATTCTTATTTTTGCGCATCACTTCATTTACGTAAGAGTGATTGATGAGATCCAGACCTTGGTTAACGTACGCGTATCTATAAGATACCTAAAGAGTGACCACTGACTAAATCCTGTATGTTCGCTGTTCATATGAAATGAATTTAGATAGATTTTCGTAAGAGCAGAGTGAAATTAAAGTTACTTTTGGGTCTTAATAGAAAAACTCCCCATTGGCATGCCGAGTTTCTGTAGCTATACCTTGAGTGCCGGTACAACTCACTATTTCACACCGTTGATATAAACATTTCATATTTCAATCCTATGGTTGTAGGAAAGAAAGCTGTAGTGAAACCGGGTCAGTCAGTGAACCAGCTGGTCGTTAAGATGGCTGAACGAGCCGAGGAGAATGCCCAACGTAAACTTCGTGAAATGATGCTACCCAAACGGCATAAGAACCTCTACAGGAAGATGGTGCATGCCCAAAAGGCCGCAGACAAGGATATGCGGCAATTGGCTGAGCGCAGAAAGGCCTTTGAGAAGTTTGTATACATTTGCTTATTTATTGCACATTTGGAATATGCTAATCTGATGTAGAGGGACAATTTTAGTCGTCACGTCGTAAATTAGCAAAATTAAATGTGTCTGAGATATTGAGCGCGTTTCAACTAGATCTTGATTCCGAAATTCGCCTCAATTCCTACCAGCCGTTAACTATGGTTTTTCAATTGCATTTTAGAAGTCAACGGTCCCAGAGGAAACCGAAATAATGGCACCGAAGTACAACTTGTGAAAGATGCGTGTTATCAGTGAACTACTTTTTATGAAATATAAGTGCGAGTTCCGTACATCACCAGTTTATGCTCAAAATGAGCTCTTCGAGTTCTTTGGCGGACGCATAAAGTTTCTCTTTCTCTTCATCTTCTATGTCTTCAAACATAACCCCGCGTACTCCATTAGCATTCACTATACAGGGCAAGCTCATAAAGATATCTTTGTCAATTCCAGGCAAATTCTAAAAGTGTAATATTAGCTGAAGTATTTAGAGGCTGTGGTGATTGCTGTGGTTGGATGTTCTGCTCACCTTGAGCAATCCCTCGTGCTATAGCGTTTGTTAAATATGCAAACTATACCTTGGCATGTGTTGAGAGCGGTATGATGACGTTCGCGTCGTTCAAAATGGCTTCGCAAGCATAACACGCTATCAGACCAATGGACCAGGAGCTGTTGTTCTTCATGCTCTTGATAAACTGGTTACTACCACTACAATGTCCATTACTGGGGAGTGCGAACTTTATGTTAATCGCCTCAGGGATTTTATTGTAACCCTCGGTGTCTTTTTCTGTTCCAAAGGTGGGGTATACGCTTCTTAGTCTAACTCCGCCGCATTCAACCGAGCTAAAGATTGGGACTAAGAAAATGCACGTCAAATATTGGGTAACCTGAATGCGATCCGTGTTCACCAAGTATGTGGGCTCTGATTGTGCTGGGACTCACGTTCAGTTTTTGACTAATTCCAACTCGAAAGGCAGCGGACTCTAAAGCTGTCCCGATTCCAAAAACACGATTTTTCTCGAATCCGCTCAAGCGCCATGCGATGTAACACATTATGTCAACTAAGAAATAAGGTTTCGGAATAGTTACCTGGTTCAGATACTACAATCACTATACTCTTCGCACTGCTCTCGACAATATGCGGTATTATTCCTTAACAATTGATGATTATACAAAAAAAACTAACTTTTAAATGTGTCTAAGCTGCGTTGAGCATGATTTAATTTGTCTTCGCTATCCATTGGTGGAATCTTCTCACACATAATTATGATAGTCGAATTTGAAACCAATTTGTAGTCTAGGGTAATTTTTAGAGTCGCCTTACTTGCACCCCCATATATTAAACATCCTGGGTAGTATTCCGCAGCCCCCTGCAAGTCCTTTACCTCCGCTTCAACCATTTCTTCGTCTAAATCAATTAAAGCCAATTCAGTGGCCATTCCCTGGAAATAATCGAGTAAAATAATTTTACCTTGGTTAAAATGCAAAATGCAGCTGCCATTCCCTCACGGCCACAGCCTATAATTGATACTTTTACTCTTTTGTATGACACTTTCCGGTCGGCATAAACAGGCATGTAGATTCTATCCTTAAGCATTTCCATGAAAGTGGAATTGTTGTTTATTTACGAAAAGTCGCATCTCTGATGTCGCGTATGAATTGTTCAAACAAAACAGTCGCTTTCGAGTACACCTCGTATCAGTAAATAAATGCTGACGATTTCTCAAAATATTCCAAAAATCTCTATCATATTATTTGCAAACATAAAGCAGTATTTCGTTTATGTTCTATCGGCGCTATTGCACAATTATTTCGCTCAGCCTTATGAAAATATTTTTGAAATAATCACAATACTCTAGTGTGCACCAAATTTTAATTTTTTCTATTAAAAGGACATATGAGACTTGTCTCAAGCTTGTTTGACTTTCCACATAGGTAGATATGGAATATTTTACGCCCTATGAATAATTTGGGAAATGAGAGTGACGCTTTTCGAGAGTAGGTCATTGGTAAATCGTGTCTATTCAAAATCACATGAGATTGTACTATGAAATCATTTGACATAGCAACTAACGTACAAACATGTAATACGATAGTGGTTTGTCCCTCGGTATTGGTGAGGCGCCACTTTTGTACTTTGAGTTAGCCCTCTTGTGCCTTGCCGGGTGGGCTGGCCTTTTGGGCCATGCCAATAGCCCAGACACCTTCTCCGTGCTGAATACATATATTCTGCCCGGGTATTGTGTCTTCTTTCGTCTCCAGGGAGTCTCGGGACGCTACACTGGTGGCAGCGGAAAGCGAACCTAATCTTAAAGGACATGTATCCTGATTTTCCACTTCTGTTTGATAAACCTTAGTGGTGCGGAAGAAGCACATATGCTACGGATGGGAGAATGGTGATTGCCCCTAATAGAAGGGTTGATGTTGACGTCCACCTTCGGCATCTCCCCCAGTTCCGTGTTCTGCAGAAAAGCTATTAACAACTGAAGCGACACTCGCCGTAAACTATCTGAAAATTTTGTGACGAATTTTTCCTACCGTCCCCCATGGAAGTGTTTTAAATCTTGTCCTCCCTTACTCAAATCTACTTTTAGGCCGGTGTTCCTACATCCAGCTATGGATACACATGATGGCCGACGCAA